GGTCAACACTCCAAGTATTTTACCAAAGCTTTTTTGGTCATAGAACATCCAATTTGCGCCGTGGTCGTGTCCTCCGACCTCGAGTACTGCGCTCGCTAGAAGCCCGGAGACAGCTGAGGGCTTGCTCTTTACCTTGGATACTCCTCACTTTCCAGAAAAGAATTCCTCCTGGCCACTTCTTATTGGGCCTGGTGTGTCAGCCCTGATTTCAGTCCTCTATGGTTCGGTTTCCGGACTTGGTAGGCCATCAGTGAAGGCGAATTCACCTTACTTCAGTCAGTTGTCATAACCTCGACCAATGCATCATTCAGCTTTGAGCCACAGGGACTTCCATAGTGCTAAAGAACTCCCAATAGTTGGAAACCTAATGTCTGGAAACATCATTCTGATTATGCTGATTATGATGCAAAAAGATCGCGACTAGATTTGCCATAAAACGCATCTCTGGTAAGAACTTGAACTTCCAAAAAGAACCCGATGGAGAGCAAACACTTTGGAGTTAGCAGAGAGGCGGCAAGTCGGCGTTTGGAGCCCAAATCAAACGCGAAGGCGCGAGACGGCAATGGCAAACTTACCAAGATGGCATATAACTTGACCACAGAACCATCTTGAAGCAGATCCGCAGCAGTCCGAATGAGGCAATGGCTGTGTCCTCCTAGCGCGTTCAACGACCAAGCCGCGGGGATAGTTCCGCCGCTATGGCAGGCTGACTGCTCCCCTCTCGAGCCCGCCCGAAGAGACTCGATTACGTTTTCGAACACCTTCAAGCTAAACATCTGTGCAAGACGAGCTCGCCTACTTACCTAAGTACGCATACTTTGCGAAACAACTCAGCTGCGAAAATCTTTGTGGTAATCACCAAAGATACACTCTTTGGCATATCTGTTAGATGCTGTTGATGTGACTTTTGTGCGTCCCAACAGGTCGGCCCTTCACAGCCTCAGTGGGAACCCCTTTCTTTTCGTCTTTCGCCGCATCCGGAGACAGGGATATGAAAAGGATGGCAGGTCAGCCGACATCATTGGCTTCTTTGAGTGCTCGGTGTGCAAACATGGTTTGCCGGCTGCTTTCCCCAAGTGCCCCCTTGTTTCGCCCTAGCATGTCATCACCATCCCCATTGCGCTACTCACACAGCCCTGAGAGAAGCAACAACCCACTTTCCGAGACCCCGAAAGTCGCGTTCTAGACCAGGCTTTGCCAACGTTAAGATTTCAAACATAGGGCCTTGTGCAACCTTCTGGATCTTTGGCTCCTGGGAAATACTACCGGATTCCGACCGCCTGGAGACTGGGTCTGCGTTCTTTGGCCATGTATTCCTGACGCAGCCACGTGAGACCAAATCGAAGGGGCCATTCATTGTGACTTTCTCCGAAGTCGGCGATGTGACTAGCACGACTTTATTCGCTATCACCAGAAAATGGCTCGAATGGATATTGGGGGGATATGCGTATCGAACATAGTGCACTATCAAAAGTAGTCGAATGTCAATGTTACGTTGTAGGGTCATCAAAATGAAAATCGCCACCGTTCTACGGTCTTGCTCTTTTAATCATCTGGAGAGTCACTGGCATGTTGAGCGACAAGAGAGTTATCACCCAACACGAAGGTTCCTTCTGGTTAGCCTCGAGCACTTGACTCCTTGCAAGCTAGACCAAAACTTCTAGTCTGTTTCAAAGCTTCCCACACTTGGGAAAGACTGTCGGATGAGGTCCCAAAGGCCAAGCTGACTCCCGGCAGGCAGAGCTACTATTCTGGCTTGGACTTCCAGCAATCTCAAGCTAACCCAACGGCATTGTACACTACATGAATTGGCCTGCTTTGGGGGCCCATTTTGATCAAATCGCGTCCAGTTTCGTGCGATTAAGTTGTGATAGAGTTGGGGTGAGGGCTCCGCAAACACTCTTTCTTCATTAATGGCAGTTATGCATCATGCATCTAGACTAGTATGTGAATGCCCAGATTGCGGCCTTTTAAGTTCATGACGCTTCGTCCTCAAGGAACCTATCGGCTTCGGGTTAGGCGCAGGAGCGGTGGAAGGAAGCAACTCTATTCGTTGAGCTCACCAGGCGCTTCTTCGGTGAGCTGAGCGGCAGAGGGACTTCGCCCGTTTTTGCGTATGAAACACAGAAAGAGCGCCATGCTATGCGTAAGACATGATGGCTTGGTAAGCGGAGCAAAGGGCGCGAAAGAATTGAATCCCGTATCCGTAAGTGGACAAAACTGGGTGAGTGGACGTAGGGAGGGGTGTCGACTTAGAATGTGGGTATGAGCAAGACGCGCGCGAGTAGTGGTACGGCCGGCGGGATATGTAGACATGGCCTAGTGCGGACGCGGCCCGGAGTCGTGGTCACCAACGCCCGTAGGTCCGAGGGATCGGCGCAGGGGTTCAAAAGACATATATTCCATTCCATTTCCGGCAGAAAGATCAGCTCAACGGTCTTCTTTCTTGTCCATGTCTCATTCGTCAGCCGTCATATGACCAAAGAACATGCATCATGAATAATGTTACACCATGAATTCCGCAAGGCGTCTACGGCATGGAACATTCAGAGACACTTCGTACTCAGTTGATTGTTTGCCAGGAAAGAAATCGCAAGGTGAAACCACTAAAATATTGTATTGTCTGTAGAGTCCTTCTGGAAATTGCCGAGGCATGTTCTCAGTGCCCCCTTCATCCTCCCAACCAGAGTGACATGCCTGACTAGATTCGGCACGAATCATCCGTTAAGAGGCGGCTAGCTTGAGATAAGAACAGTACAAGGTCCCCGGCTCATTCCATCCAATTAGAGGCCAGGATCAGAAGCTACCAACGCAAGTATAATGCAAAACTGAACGGGTCATTCCACCGTCATTCTTGGTGTTGAACCCCTGTTTTCCAGAAGAACGGACATTACAATCCAAGTCCAAGGGACGCCAGAATCACGCAGCCGATGACCCCCATGACCAAGAGCTCATCCCACTGAGCACCAAATGATCGAGACGCGGACGACGTAGACACGGCAGGAGGCTTGCCAGAGCTTGAGGTGGTAGCAGCAGGCGAATTACCATTGGAGCCTCCGGCAGGACTGGCGGCAGATGAAGGGCCTCCGGGGGCGTTGCTGGCTGGAGGCTGCGCCGACGGAGGACTGCCACCGGGCTGGGTTGCAGCAGGACTGCCAGCAGGGCCACCGGCAGGGCCACCGGCAGGACCGCTAGCAGGACCGCCAGCAGGACTGCTTCCTCCAGGGGCTTGACTGACAGTCTCTTGCGGAAGTTGAGTATTTGGCACCTCATGGTGCTGTGTCGATGCAGGAGGAAATCCTTCCCCAGCTGTGATTGGAGGAATGGCGCAGTTTGAGTTCTCGCAGAGAGAAATTGTCTGCGGCGGTAGCAGGAGAGTGTTGGTAATCATCGGGAGTGTAACGGAAACGCCGCACACCTCAAGGAATGGATCGACAACAGGGGGCGCGGCGAGCGCAACGGGAATAAGATGTAGAAAACGGTAAGACTTCATCTCGATAGGTATGATCAATATTGCCTGACCACAATGATGATGTACAAATGGCTGCCAAAATGGGTGACCGAATAGCTCTGGTTTATCGGACGTGGGCATCTATATATGCTCATAGTCAACTGTGATGTTAGACAGGCAGTGCCATCATGTCTTTCCAGTACACGGAATGCTTGACTTGCGAGCAAAACAGTGTGCCCGGGGTTGAGCCCGAAGAAACCAGCATCACTTCGTCAATGAGGGGAGTTTCTTTCTTGCTTTTTGCGCATTTCTTGCTAAGGTAGTGTGGATATTACGTGAGGCCATACTGCATGCAGACAGCGTTTAGGTCTCAAAACAGGCCAACGGGTAGAGTTTGCGACCTTCTTACTAGTAGTCTGTCCGCCTTGACGAGTTGTCCTTGCTTCACTTTCCGAATTCCCCTGTCAAATGCCTGGTTCTGGATAGCAGCCTGGGCAATCCCACTCAAGAAATGGCTTTGTAAATGATTGTGAGATCCGCAGCACAATGATTCTGCTATACGAGTTTCGATGTTTGCAGGATGCAAGCACAACTTACTAGGTCCTTGGTCAACTATCGCAACATGGGCCAAGAAAATCTAGGACCGCTCAACTGAACTATAGACAAAGTTTGAACGTAAGCTCGAAACAGCTGCCACTCAGAGCCAGATTTACGTCTCTTAGGTTTTAGTTGCAGAAATAGCTTCGCATTCAGCTCATCAAGTAGACACGCATGCAGACCCAGATCCATTGGGCACTGCAGTCTAGGGACACTGGCTGATAGCCTGAATAAGTCTATCTCTCGCAACAAACTCACAGCAAACCGCATGCGACGTACGAGGACTATACGTCTACTTGGTCAGTCTACCTGGGTTTCCTCACATGGATGCATTTGTTTAGCTAGATTTTGGTCTGCATCCAGCACGAATCTCGGGTTTTGTCCTTTTCCACGGCTGCATTCGCTCGCCATGATCGAGGCGCAACTGAACTTCCAGTCCTCACAGACGCAATGGGTCATAGTCTGTTATCCCATCATGATGAATCGATATCTAGGACTTGCCCGAAGAAAGCTCTGTATGAAAACGATACGAGATCGAGTGGAGCGAGTACGTGCTACCGTCTCGGCTTCCTGGGATACCTCCTTCTTCGGTGCCCGCCACGATGATGCTCCTTATTTGCAGTTCAACCGTCAGGGGCTGAGCTGTTTCCGGTCGATTCCGGATCCCATTGAGGTTAGGAACGGAAACCATGGACTTTTACTCAGCTCAGGCAAGAAAGTTGACGAAGAGTTCTTTGCTCCTAGTCGTGTTCTGACAAGAATGTTACGCCTTTCAGTATCTTGAAGTTGAAGGAAAATGTATTATAAGATCCTCTGATTTCTCGAGCACTGATATACTGATTAACTAACAAGCATCTCATCAACTCTCTCTTTCAAGGTTTCTTCAAAGATCTACCACTGTACCCAGCCATTGTCACATGCATCGGACGTCTCATACTAGGTGTCAGTCAACATGAAACGAATTTCTGCTCTTGCCACTGCCATGAGCTTCGTGGCTCTTCTCCCATGGCCGGGCTTAGCAAGTGTAGATTGTCCAACCACTGGGCCTGGTGCGAGTCCTACGACCGTTCAGCCCATGGAGATTGTTCATTGCATCCCACTCCATCTCAGTACTTCAGTGTCTCTGAATACTACATTCACTGTTATGGGCACTCCGGTCACAATCTCCAACGCTCCAACCTTGGTAACCTCTGACTTTTTGGCTACGACTACGGTCACCTACCTTTCTCCTGTGTAAGTACCCAGCTCTGCATCAACTCTAACGTGTTTAACAAATCGTTTGATTCCTCTAGCAATTCTCAATCGCCCTACGCAGGTCCTTGCGTCACAGTCACGGCAGCACTGCCCCCCGGATCAAAGCCTTCTACTATTGTCATCCCCCCCCAAGGTGGACAGGCTACAGGAACCAAGTACATCTGCTCGCCGCTTGAGTCTAATATGCCGTGGTTGCCGGGCTCAGGCAACCCAACCGCCGGCGGCAAGTCTCCATACACGGGAAGCCTGACGACGGTCACCGCTCCCTATGCGGGCTCGGCTATGACAACGTTGACGATTCCCCCTGCTGGAAGTGACCAGACAGGCACTGTGCTCGTCCTCAAGCCCACGCCCAATAACGGAGATGCCCCTTTCAACGGCCCCTGCGCGACGATAACAGTTCCTGGAGCCGGCACAGCATTGACAACTTTGACTGTGCCTCCATCGGGAACTGATCGAACTGGCACTCAGATTATTTGTCTTCCCTCCGCTTCAGGAGGTTTGGTGACCAGCACGTCGACTGGCACCCAGCCTGGTCAGACGGGACTACTCACTCTTCCTCCCGGAAAGCCCGGCGATCCGACTACCATCGTCACGATTGTTCCTCCTGGAGGTACGGTAACGTCTACGTCAACAGGAACTCAACCTGGCCAGACAGGCCTGATTACTCTTACGCCTGGAAAGCCCGGCGAGATCCGACTACCATCGTCACGATTGTTCCTCCTGGAGGTACGGTAACGTCTACGTCAACAGGAACTCAACCTGGCCAGACAGGCCTGATTACTCTTACGCCTGGAAAGCCCGGCGACCCAGTCACCATTGTCACGATTGTTCCTCCTGGAGGCACGGTAACGTCGACGTCAACAGGCACTCAGCCCGGCCAGACAGGCCTGGTTACCCTTACGCCTGGAAAGCCCGGCGACCCAGTCACCATTGTCACAATCGTTCCACCTCCGTCCGGAGGATTTGTTACTTCTACGTCGACTGGCACTCAACCTGGCCAGACAGGCCTGATTACCCTTACGCCTGGAAAGCCCGGCGACCCAGTCACCATTGTCACGATTGTTCCTCCTGGAGGCACGGTAACGTCGACGTCAACAGGCACTCAGCCCGGCCAGACAGGCCTGGTTACCCTTACGCCTGGAAAGCCCGGCGACCCAGTCACCATTGTCACAATCGTTCCACCTCCATCAGGAGGATTTGTTACTTCTACGTCGACCGGCACTCGGCCCGGCCAGACTGGGCTTTTAACTCTGACGCCTGGCAAGCCCGGTGATCCCACAACGCTCGTTACTATTGTCCCTCCTCCTACAGGGGGAATAGTAACATCTACGTCGACTGGTACCCGCCCAGGTCAAACCGGATTATTGACTCTCACGCCCGGCAAACCTGGAGATCCCACCACGCTCGTTACTATTGTGCCGCCTCCAAGCGGCGGGATAGTCACCGTGACTTCAACCGGCACTCAGCCAGGACAGACTGGACTATTAACTCTCACGCCCGGGAAACCTGGAGATCCCACCACGCTCGTTACTATTGTGCCGCCTCCAAGCGGCGGGACAGTCACCGTGACTTCAACCGGCACTCAGCCAGGACAGACTGGACTATTAACTCTCACGCCCGGCAAGCCTGGAGATCCCACAACGCTCATTACTATTGTACCGCCTCCTAGCGGCGGACTGGTCACGGTCACTTCAACAGGATCTCAACCTGGGCAGACTGGTCTTTTCACTCAGACACCTGGCCGCCCTGGCGATCCAACAACAGTCGTCACAACGCTCATTACTATTGTACCGCCTCCTAGCGGCGGACTGGTCACGGTCACTTCAACAGGATCTCAACCTGGGCAGACTGGTCTTTTCACTCAGACACCTGGCCGCCCTGGCGATCCAACAACAGTCGTTACCATAGTACCCCCTCCCGGTGGACTGGTCACGGTCACTTCAACAGGAACCCAACCTGGTCAGACTGGTCTTCTCACTCAGACGCCTGGTCGCCCTGGCGACCCAACAACGCTCATTACTATTGTACCGCCTCCTACTGGCGGCTTCGTCACGATCACTTCAACAGGATCCCAACCTGGTCAAACTGGTCTTCTCACTCGGACGCCTGGTCGCCCTGGCGACCCAACAACGCTCATTACAATTGTACCGCCTCCTACTGGCGGCATCGTCACGGTCACCTCTACAGGGTCGACCACTGGCCTCATTACTCAGACACCCGGACGACCAGGAGATCCAACCACAGTCGTGACCCTGGTGACACCTCCCGCCGGTAGATTGATCACTATCACATCCACTGGCTCGACTACTGGCCTCATTACTCAAACACCTGGAAGACCCGGCGATCCAACCACAGTCGTGACACTTGTGACGCCTCCCGCTGGCGGCATCGTCACAGTCACCTCTACAGGGTCGACAACTGGCCTCATTACTCAGACACCGGGACGACCAGGAGATCCAACCACAGTCGTGACACTTGTGACGCCTCCCGCTGGCGGCATCGTTACAATTACTTCTACTGGCTCGACTACTGGCCTCATTACTCAGACACCGGGACGACCCGGTGATCCAACCACAGTCGTGACCCTGGTGACGCCTCCCGCTGGCAGCATTGTCACAATTACTTCTACTGGCTCGACTACTGGCCTTATCACTCAGACACCTGGAAGACCCGGTGATCCAACCACAGTCGTGACCCTTGTTACGCCTCCCGCCGGTGGATTGACCACTGTCACCTCCACAGGCTCGACAACTGGGTTGACCACTTTGACGCCCGGGCGCCCTGGTGACCCTACCACTGTCGTTACTTTCGTCACGCCTCCAGCTGGGGGATTGACTACAGTTACCTCGACGGGATCGCAGACTGGTCTCACGACCCTGACGCCTGGAAGACCCGGAGATCCTACTACGGTAGTGACTATTGCGACTGGCCCTCCTCTTGTGACCGTTACGTCGACAGGTTCGACCACTGGTTTGACTACCCTCACACCCGGAAGGCCTGGAGACCCTACTACAGTCGTCACTTTCGTTACTGGTCCTCCTTACGTCACGGTCACTTCAACAGGCTCATCGACTGGTCTAACCACTTTGACACCTGGAAGACCTGGAGATCCTACTACTGTAGTAACTATTGCGACTGGTCCTCCTCCTGTGACCGTTACCTCGACAGCCTCGACGACTGGTCTGACCACGCTGACTCCTGGAAGGCCTGGAGATCCTACTACCGTCGTCACTTTCGTTACTGGTCCTCCTTACGTCACGGTCACTTCAACAGGCTCGCAAACTGGTCTTACCACCTTGACACCTGGAAGACCTGGAGATCCGACCACCGTAGTGACTATTGCGACCGGCCCTCCTCCTGTGACAGTCACTTCAATAGGCTCGACGACTGGGCTGACCACGCTGACTCCCGGAAGGCCTGGAGACCCTACTACAGTTGTCACTTTCGTCACTGGTCCCCCTTACGTCACGGTCACATCGACAGGCTCTTCAACTGGTTTGACTACGCTTACACCTGGAAGCCCCGGAGATCCTACGACTGTTGTTACAATCGCAACTAGCCCGCCTCCCGTTACATTGACCTCTACTGGCACAACTACAGGCCTCACCACGGTTCCAGGAGGTCCCGGGGGCCCAGCTACAGTTATCACGATCGTTCTTCGAAAGGGATTCCTGGTTACGCTCACGTCTACCGCGACCACAACTGGACTTACGACGATTATCCCAACCGATCCATTTGACGGCACTACCAGCGTAATCACGTTCGTCACACCGCCAGCCCCGGTGACTCTTACATCTACGGGTAGTACAACGGGTCTCACCACGGTTCCTCCTGGTCCTAGCGGAGGTCCTCCAACTGTCATTACGTTTGCGACCTCTACAGGAAGCCCTCTTCCGCCGGTGACCGTGACATCGACGGCATCAACTACTGGCTTGACAACTCTTCCGCCCGGACCAAGTGGTGGTCCCTCGACAGTTGTTACTTTTGTGACCCCTCCGGCGAGTCCTTTGTCTCCCGTAACAGTCACATCAACGGCGTCAACAACTGGTCTAACTACTCTCCCCCCTGGGCCAAGCGGCGGTCCCTCGACGGTTGTTACTTTTGTCACTCCCTCGGCGAGTCCTCTTCCTCCTGTGACCGTTACATCGACGGCCTCAACCACTGGTCTGACAACTCTACCTCCTGGGCCAAGCGGCGGTCCCTCGACAGTTGTTACTTTTGTGACCCCTCCGGCGAGTCCCCTTTCTCCCGTAACCGTCACATCAACGGCGTCAACCACCGGTTTGACTACTCTTCCCCCTGGTCCTAGCGGTGGTCCTTCGACTGTAGTCACTTTTGTTACACCCTCGGCAAGTCCTCTTCCCCCTGTGACCATTACATCGACGGGTTCAACCACGGGTTTGACAACTCTACCTCCTGGGCCAAGCGGTGGCCCGTCCACTGTGGTCACATTTGTCCCTCGTATTACTGGCTTCTTGGTGACTCTCACATCTACAGCCAGCCAGACAGGACTCACCACCATTGTCCCAACGGATCCGGCGGGCACTACGAGCATCATCACGTTCGTCACGCCCAGCGCTCCCCTTACGCCAGTCACAGTCACTTCAACGGCATCCACCACCGGCTTAACCACTCTTGCCCCTGGTCCCAGTGGTGGTCCTTCAACTGTCGTGACTTTTGTCACTTCCACCACTCCTCTTGCGCCAGTTACTGTCACGTCAACGGCGTCAACCACCGGCCTGACAACTATTCCTCCTGGCCCCAATGGTGGCCCTACAACCGTCGTCACTTTTGTACAGCCTCCTACTGGCTTCATTACAACAGTCGTGTCAACGGGTACCCAGACCGGTGTGACAACTCTGCCCCAAACCAACCCAACCGGCACAACCACTGTCGTCTCCTTCGTGCCCCCGATTACAGGTGCTATCACAACTGTGGTCTCTACAGGAACCCGGACAGGCCTTACGACGCTGCCCCAGACCGACCCAGCTGGCACAACCACTGTCGTCTCCTTCGTGCCGCCGATTACAGGTGCTATCACAACTGTGATTTCTACGGGAACCCAGACGGGCGTCACAACGCTTCCCCAGACCGATCCGGCTGGCACGACCACGGTCGTCTCGTTTGTGCCGCCGATTACAGGTGCTATCACAACTGTGGTCTCTACGGGAACCCGGACGGGCCTTACGACGCTTCCTCAAACCGACCCAGCCGGTACGACTACCGTCGTCTCCTTCGTGCCGCCGATTACAGGTGCTATCACAACTGTGGTCTCTACGGGAACCCGGACGGGCCTTACGACGCTTCCTCAAACCGACCCAGCCGGTACGACTACCGTCGTCTCCTTCGTGCCGCCGATTACAGGTGCTATCACAACTGTGGTCTCTACGGGAACCCGGACGGGCCACGACGCTTCCTCAAACCGACCCAGCCGGTACGACTACCGTCGTCTCCTTCGTGCCGCCGATTACAGGTGCTATCACAACTGTGGTCTCTACGGGAACCCAGACGGGCCTTACGACGCTGCCTCAAACCAATCCAGCCGGTACGACTACCGTCATTACTTTCGTCACCCCATCCGCTACTCCAACAGATGTCACTGGATGTGCACCATTATGCACCCCCGGGTCTGGTACAGGTCTTACAGTGAAGCTCTACAAGAACAATCACGGACTCAACACTGGCGGCTATCAAGGTGGCTCGGCCTCCCCACCTAATCTCAACGGCGTGACGCCCATTGCACAGGGAACATCCAACGACCTTGGATTTCCCCAATTCAATACCGGCACGTCCGATTATGTGCCTGGTTCGACACGAACTGTCGCTGGTCTTACTGTCGATGCAAACAACTTTACTGCACTGTACACTGGCTATTTCCAGCCTACTGTATCTGGTCTTTGGACCATCTGTCAATCGGCGGATGACGTCTCGTATCTCTACCTTGGTAGTGGAAGCGCTTTTTCATGTGGAAACCCAAGTGACCAAGGAGGTACTGCCTTGAGTTCATCATTCAGCTACGCACCTGTTTGCAGGACTCGAACGCTGGTGGCAGGCCTGCTGTATCCGTATCGAGAGGTTTTCGGCCAGATCCAAGGATATTCATTCCTCAACGTTTCTTTCACTCCTCCTGGAGGCACTGTTTCGAGCTCTTTCCCAGGATATCTCTATCCTGAGGACTCCAGCTGCGTTCCAGGTGGTGGCAGCACGACTTCATCGACCTCCTCTACCACTGCTCTAACTCCAGTCACTGTGACTTCAACTGGATCCTCAACTGGATTAACAACTCTGACCCCAGGTCCCAGCGGTGGTCCTCCTACTGTTGTCACTTTTGTCACTCCTTCAGCAACCCCTATTCCACCAGTGACCGTCACTTCAACTGGATCCTCAACTGGACTAACAACCCTTGCCCCTGGTCCCAGCGGTGGTCCTACTACTGTTGTGACTTTCGTTACGCCTACTCCGACTACAGTCACCATAACTTCAACCGGTACTACTACAGGACTTACAACGATTCCGCAAAGCGGAACTGTGCCAGGCACCGTCATCACCATCGCTTGTCGTACTGTGACCCAAACGCAAACAATTTCGGCCAGCGGAGCTGCGGGTACTCAAGCTTCTTTTGTTGTGCCTGCATGTGCAAGAACCGCGACATTCAGGATCAAGGGTGGTGATGGTGGTGGAACTGGCCGGGAGTCAGGTGTCGGTGAATTGATTCTTGGAAGTCTCGCCGTCACACCCGGTCAGACATATGTCGCCATTGCTGGCGGCGCGGGAAATATCAACATTCAGGGAACCAGTGCATATGGTAACGGCGGTACAGCGGTCGATGGTGGCGGCGGAGGCGGTGGAGCATCTGCCATTCTCATTGGCGGTGCGGAGGTTGTCGTTGCTGGCGGAGGCGGAGGCGGAGACATTTACCTCTATGGATATCCCACCGATGGACGACCAAACACAGTCACAATTACCTCCGATGCCAACAGAGGCCAAGGCGGCTCTCCAGGACTACAAGGCGTTGGCAGATATACAGTTGATGAGGGAAATACTGGAACAACTGGCTTTTACAACGTTGCTCGAGGTGGAGGTGGTGGCACAGCTACTGGAGCAGGCGCTGGTGGAATAGCTGGCGGTACTACCACTGCACAAGCGAACGGCAACGCTGGATCTGGTCACAACGGTGGAGCAGGTCTTTCTACTCGAAACACAGGATCTCCGGGATCTGGAGGATCTGGGGCTGGGGGTGGTGGTTACTTTGGTGGTGGCAGTGGAAGCGTTTTGGACTGGACCTACGGTAACAACCGCGTTACTTTCGGCGGTGGTGGCGGCGGTGGCTCCAGCTTTGTCCGATCCGGTGTGACTGTTAGCAGTCGAAGTGTCACAGGTGGTACCGGGAGTGTTGAGATTGTTTTCACTTCTTAGGTACCATCGAAGGAGTTGAGATCGATATTAATATGTGCCCACCGGGCCGCGGAAAGATTGTAGTTTCCTTTGTACTGCTCGAATTTAGAATCAAGGTTTAATCATTAGTCATTTATATGTTTATTGAGCTTGAAATCGGTTCCCAATGGCGAGAATGGGGCATTGAATGTTGAGAATAGTATGGAGAACTTTACGAATGATAGCCGTATGTTTGAGACGGGCTAATTTGGATACATCTACTCTGCGGGCCTTCACGCGGAGGTTCATCGCGAGGCAGCATCTATGCTCTCGGTAGAAACAGCAGCAATAAAACCGACGGCGGAAATAAGGTAGCGTCTCTCCCGTTTTGTGGCACTCTGGTCCGATACCGCGCGTCAGGTGCCGGAGGCGGAGGTTACTTCGGGGTTGGCAGCGGTGCATTTGTGTATTGAAACTTGACGGCGCTTACTACTCCGTACTCCGTACATTTTCGGAGCTGGCGATCGTGGTGGGTCGAGCTCATGCTGAACGGCAATAGCCCTACCCTCGATATCAAATGGCGTAGCACTATAGCCACATAACGCGTAGGTGGTTCCTTTCGTTAAGATGCTTTTGTATCTCCCCCATTCGATTCCCTCGGTCATCAAGTATACGCTCCGCATTTGTGTGCGTTGTGTTCTGTCTTGTAAAGACACCTGAGCATAGTAGCCGTCAGAATATCACTTCCCTTTCACATCCGTGCTTCTACTTCTCCCTATGCAACTACCATAGGGTTAGGGGAAATCACCACTATCACGACCGCGCATGCAGATGATGCATATCGCTGAATGAGAAACGCTTGGCTTCCAATATGAAGCTTACGCGCCTGTAATTATAAGTTACAAAACCTCATTGGACTCTTAGTACGAAACCAAGTCGCAAAGTCTTTCGGCTCTGACATCTCGCCAATCCCTGGCTTACCGGCCATGCAGCGGACGAGCGGAATCTTCTTGAATGGTGGGCACGGACGCCGTTGAGAATAAAAAGAAAACGAAGAAAAGCGCGAATGGTCGCCGCGAGTCGCTTTTTCTGCCGAGCACGCACCGGTGTTCCTCGCCGATACTTTCACACTAAACTAGCATCCGCAATGGGTCCCGCTGCAAGAAAACCGTTGAAAATTGTGCGTCATCGGCGAATTGCAATGAATGAATTGACAGGCAACGTCTCGGGGGGTCTATTTTGATCATCGATCTCTATGGAATCTCTTTAGATTCCTCTCCATGAAAGACTCAGGTGACTGACAGTCGGGTCTGACCCACGATATCCATAATACAGGTGGACCGAGGAGAATAGAGGAACTTCGGCTGCAGTAGGCTGAACTTGGCGCTGGCAGCGGGCTTTTTTTCATCACCAGCGGAGGTAGCCCCGGAAGACTTTCTCATCGGGACATGTTGGTTGCCTGTTGTCTCTCGTGAACCTTGACCCGATGACCGATGGGAATATGATGTGTGGATGTTGATAGTGAACACAATAGATTACTCTCCCCATGTCCCACATCAGCACAATATCAGGATCTTATAGTGCTGTCTGCGCCTTCGGCTGCAAGCATATGTCTCTGATGTGGTGATGCATGTTGTCTGGCTCTCGTCTCCCGAATTCTCACGAATGAACCAACTGACATTTCCCTGTGGATTATTGGATACAGTTGCGAGTAAGATACAGGTTGCACTGAATTGAGTCCACTCCAGAACCCCAGCGATTCTCTCTAGGCCCCAGTTAAGGAACCCCATAGGGAGTTCTGGGGGGTCGGGGCTCCTGTCAGGGGCTCGGAGGAGCAAGATAAATAGTGGCGAGTCAGGCGGTTGCATTGTACTGCATCCAGTCCAGTTTTCTCGTATGATGGAGGAAACTCAGTGTTGTTAACCCGGCACTGAACCCGCGATGTTGTACAAGGGCGGTGAAGATGGCCTTCGTTTCGACATCGGGGACTGAGGTGTTAAATCGGCTTAGTCGTCGTTGTGGAATTTGCCGGGCATGCTGAATCACAAAACTTGAAATTTCTGGACCAGTCTCAAACGGAGCGCCATATGAGCGATCGAGTTGTAGTATTACGTTTTTGATAACAATTGAAATACTCGCATATTCTAAACTCCCAGAGCCAAAAGGAACCATCCAGTTCCTGCCCTTCCATCTTTCAATGAATAAAAAGAAAGGCATGAACATTTCCATTTGTGTAGTTGGTGTACCCAGTTCTGTACCCGTTTCCCAGATAGACCACTTTCATGAAACTCCGTCTCATCCGTTCCTGAACCTGCCCCCAGAACCCATTTCATTCCCCGTAAAAGCAATCAGATCAAGATACTAGTAGTATCTCGTCACGATATCATTTTTTGAACTCTAAATCGCCCGTAGTAAACCGCTCGAACTTGACTCTATTGGGATCGACGCCTTGGTTGATCAGGAATTGCGACATTTCAACCATGAAAATCTCAGGACCGCAGATGTAGTACTCCGCGCCACCATGGCTGAGGTAGAGCTCTTCAGGTGCTATCCGCGCAAGGTCCATGCGGAGGCCAAAGTCGCTCGAGGAGGAGAGAGAGTCATCATCTTCGACATCGGCAATCTGGGAACGAAAGAACTTGGTGATGAAGTTGGCGCGGCTGTAAGCGATCTTGCGGATATGTTCTTCAAAGGGTGCTGCTCGAGCCGAGCAGTGAATCCACGAGATAGGACGGATAGCCTGGCGCTCGATGATGGTGTTGCAGATGGACATGAGAGGCGTGACGCCGACACCAGCAGAGATGAGAACGACGGGAAGAGTGCCAGCGGCGTGGGTATCAAAGAAGAAGTCGCCGGTAGGATGCGTCAGCTCCACGATGTCACCCGGCCTCTTCTCATCGATGAGATGGTTGGAGAAGACACCGGGGTTGAGGTTGAAGGTGGCGGCCCCCTTGCCAACCTTGACGCCTTGGTCACGCTTAACAGTGATGCGATAGTAATCCGGTCGTGGTGAGTCACTGAGCGAGTACTGTCGTGACTGATAGTGGCCAAGCTCAGGGATTGTGACGCGGATCGAGGTGTATTGGCCCGGATAGAAGTCAGGTAGTCGTTTGCCGTCGACAGGCACCATGTAGAAGGAGAAGATGTCGTCCGTTTCGGCGACCTTTCTTTCAATGCGGAATTTGCGCCACCCCTTCCACCTGTCGTCGTCGAATTCGCGATACATCTGGGCCTCGCGGCCGATGAGCATCTTTGCGAGAATCCAGTAGGCCTTTGTCCAGGCCTCGCGGATCTCCGGGGTCATGGCGGGACCTAGGACCTGTCCAAAGGCTTGGATGAGGTACTTTCCCACGATGTCGTAGTGTTCCGGTAGAATTCCAAGAGAGCAGTGCTTGTTACACATGCGCTCCAGCTTGGGGATGAGCTCGCTGATGTGGTTGAGGTTTGCGGCGAAGGAAAGGATGACGCCGGTCAAGGCGCGGGGCTGGCGACCGTTGGCCTGGTTGACCTTGTTGAAGTGGTCATGAAGTTCAGGATGAGCTCGCAGCATATTGGCATAAAATATGGTCGTGATGGTCTCGCCATGCTCACGGAGAGCCGGGATCGTACCCCTGACGAGTTGTGATTGCTTGTATGTCAAAGCCATGGCTGTGGTGATTTTGTATGAAGAAGTTGTTGCTTAGCTTCTGCTTGAGAATACTGTTCTCTAAGTGGGTGATTTGGAAGCCAAAAAAGGGGAAACCTGAGGTTCTCAAGCAGGTAATTCTCGTGCCTAGATATGGGATCAAGGACGGATATCTGGGGGCAGACCGGAACGGGGATGAATGTTAAAGGGGGTATCAACAGAAATGCACAAACGCTACGGATAAACTGGTAAACGTCCGAGGATAGAAGGGGAGCCAATTCCAAGGGTTTGGGAACATAATGCAGATGTCTTTCTCGCCGCCGGGTTCGGGCCTCGGAGGAAAGATATAGAAACTTTGAACTCCAGCCCAAGATGCCTTCGTGTAGAAACACTCCGACAGACACAAGGCTCGATCCTGTCTCACCCCTCCCCCTCGTCGTGCTACATCGTCGCGTGCGCTCGAGACCTCACAGTCTACATGCTTCGAATCAGGCACCGCCCATCTCGACGGATAGACATCGTATGATTTGTATGCCGTAGTGTAAAAAGAAAGCTGGTTCCTCATTTGAACACGGCTCTCGTGGGCCACACAAGCATGGATCCAGGGGCGAAAGGCCCATGGAGAAAGACGCTGGGCGCCGTTGATGGTTAATCCAGGGAACAGCACCAATGGTAGCTAGTCGTTCGCGATGAACCGAGGAGCGGTTCAAAGTCAGCCCTGTCCGTCGCCGGGTGGTACAAGGCCGGGTAACCAGGATACCAGGATCTCAGAGGCACCAGAGAGACACCGGCAGGGGTATCGACTGGACCCTGAGGGTGACCCGAAGCCTCTCCGGTGGGACACCGCCCGTGAGCTGCCGAGCAAACCGAAGCAACGAGGAGCTCCGGAGGGTCTTCTAGAAGTGCGCTAAGAGGCGAGTTTATGGTGGATATTCCGCACAATCATTGCTGCATGCAGTCCGAGCTGCCTTGAGGGGAATAAATTGGAGGTCTCTAGTAGTACCCTGTAGCTTCGCAGAGTGATGAATGAGGATCTCATGGAGACAGGTACGCGGTCTTGTTACCCAGTCTGTCAGATATAACCGGGCGCATGGATTAGCCAAAATCCTTCTATTCGGAGAGGCTGGAGTAAAGTCAACGTAGAAACTGAGCATTCGGACAGAAAACCCCGGGCTGCGATGGAGGCGGCGGTTGGAGGTGACTCTGAGTCTGAGTTTGAGTCTGCAGTCTTCTGGCTCGTCCCTTGTTCCTGACAGACGTCAGCGACACGCGATGTACAGTGGAGTAGAGAACACGCCACAGCAAGGAATTGCCGAGTTGCAATTGCAAACTCGTATGATGAGATTTGCGGTTTCCGGAGTACCTAGTTGGGGGTCCACGGGGCTTCGCCCAATGGTCTCAATATTGATCCTTGAAAGTACTTTGACGACATGCAAGGCTTTGCTTGGGGTGACAGCAGGACATGAGAGAGACACAGAGAGAAAACGGGGGGAAACAGAGGTGACAAGGTTTTGAAGCGGCACATAACCACAAACACTGTGACGCTTCTCCAGTTAACCCAGGAGTGCTTTTTCAATTCCCGATTTCCCTGGAGGGGAACAACGTCCGTATGTCATAGACGGCTTTTTGTTCGGGTTTCTGCCCACTCTGTTGGAGCCGGGGGGGGTTGCAATAATTAACGCCGTTGTCTTCGGGTCTTACAAGTTACGCTCAAATCTCAACACAGATTTCCATTACGACGTCGGAAAGAAAACTGAGTTTTGCGAATTGACACAATATCAAATGGTGGAGTTGTAATCACATACCATTTCTTCGTCAAGTTTCAATTTGAGCCAGAAAGGATTGAGTGGAGTTGTCTTATTTTGCAACTCGCACTGGCCAGTTCGGCTACGGTGACACAACACTACTCGAACGGGTTGGTTCCTTTCGCTTGTGAAAGGAATCCGCAGCGCATACGGATATGCTCGATGAAAAAGTCTGCTGAATGGAAAATCTGCCAGGGCTTCTAATCCTTCTTCCATCCCGGCTGAAGGATCCGCACATGTCAATAATGAAAAAGCTTACCCAATGCATGTCGTCACGCCACGATCTCCCAGCCTCATCTTGTTCATCTTCTCTTTTAGTGCAAATGGTGTTGAGACGGCAGCGCCATCGCATGTCGACACCGTCCAAAGTCGGGATTCCCCGGGCTTTATCGGCGCGAAGCTCATCAACAACCCCGAACCACCCCGCACATAACCCTTGACAATGGCCTGCTTCTTGAGCCTCGAAGCGGAAGCCGTTAGCGGATCAGAGTCTTTCCACACGCAATTATCAGATTATCAATGTGACCTCCACCTACAGGTATCCGTAGTACTTCGCAGAGCCCACCCACCGGGGCCCGTCAGTGATGTGATGGAGATCTCTAAAGATCTCGATGGATCAACAGAAGAAGACTACACAGTAAAGTAGGGGGCCAAAAGGCCCTCGCAAATTTCAAGGTGTCCGCCTCTTGTCATTTGTGACAGGTGTCAAATTACAGTGCAAACATTGCAATATCAATCTCTCCACGGGGCGGCCGCAAACATGCCGCCTGATGCCATTGAATACCGAGGAATTAATCGCAGCGGTGGTCGGCGGATGACCGAACTCCTCGAGTATAGCGCAAGTTGGAATGCAGGCGACAATTCTTACCTAGCATTTTGAGCCTACCCGCACGGCGTACCTAAGTCACCAACGGGTCTGGTTGATAGATCCCACTTCCCCTCCGTCCGTGTTGATAAATGGACCGAGGCGTAGCGCGACAGAATGTGATATGTCGTTTCGCCGAGGGATTTGTCCCTCAAGTTCCAAAGAGAGGGGGGGGGAAGTGTTTGCTTCTCTTACTGATTTTCTTCGACGCCACCACGGCCACCAAATGGAACCAGACCCTCAACTTGCGGCGCTCTTCGATATTGTGGCGGTCGTTTCATTTGCTTCTGCGTGTCCCAAAAGTGAGACTTGACGCAATGCAGGTGTGACCAAGGCTTTTGGTTCGATTCTGGGTCCTCGCGAAGACAATTGCATTAGATCTCCGGGGGGGCCCAGTTCCAACCTGCGTGATGCATCACACAAGCCAGGTGCTCAAGACCCCGTGCTGACAAGCAAACATCGTTCCAGGCCCCGTCTAAGCAGAAGGCATGCTTGTTCTGTTGCTTGTCTCGCACATTTTCAGTCTTGGAAGAAGCAATATTTCGCCCGTTCGCCAGTTGATAATTGACAAGCAAACACAACAGCTCGTCCAGTCTGGAGCCACTTGTACTCCCGCAACCTTCAACACCGCACGGATTTACATCGAGCCACATGGCATCCACGAGTACGACATGATGCAACTGGAAGAAGAAAAGGGATGCCAGCACGGCTTCTTCCCCGGTCAAGCCACCAACGGGCTGCACACAACCCAACTAGGCTTACCTGAACCTAGCTAATGCCGGGCGGGTAAAAATTTGACACTTCCAAAGCCGACGGCGTCAAAAATCTCTTTCAAATCCGCTAAGCCCATGCCCATGACAGCTAGCTCCCAACAGTAATTCCTCATTGACGAGAGATGTTTGCTTGCCAGGTACGCCGGCCTCCCGCTCGTCGCTCATCATTGTAAAATTTCAGCCGGTAGTCCGCTGCGCATCCGCCCGGAAGCTCGCGACATGGAATCCACAGTTTCGGGCACCATGCACACCTGGCAAGAGGTTTGAGGCCTGTCATCACCGTTCTTAGCCTATCTCTGGGGCCCATATGTGTCTGACACAGTGCTTTCGACATCGCATTCAATACGGGTGAGGGACTGACTGTACATCCACTGATCCATGGCGCGTATGGCGGGGCGGGTATTGCAGCGGATCCAGCCAGGCATCAAGTCTTTTGCAGATGAAGAGGTGACTGACGGATCAACCATTTTGGCGAGGATAAATTACTGATCATGATGACTGACTTTGGTTTCGCACATACGCTGATTCAGGGCATACACGAGTAACGACACGAAAGCAAGTAATACAGTTCCAAATGCAGCTATGGCGGGTCGCGGGTTCCTTAAGTCGGCTGTCGTTCAAAGCATGTTGGGAAAGCATCTCCTTGTTTTTCTCATATTCAAGCAAGGCGAGGTAACGAGCAGCATCCTGCAAACGCAGGCTTGCGGACACTGTTCATGTGTCGTAGCGCAAATGATGCTCCAGGTCCAGATTAACTACCACTTCGCCCCAACATCTCGTACGAGACATGGTATTCCAGCGCATCTACTAGAGGGTCGGGCCGTTCAGCTCGAATGAGCTGCCACTTCCGATAAACTGAGCTGGATTTCCTGTGAACACGAGTTGCCGAGGACGGAGTCCCCGCTACGGTGTGAAACAAACCCCGAGGCTACTGTACGTGTGCGGGTATCGGCCAGATTCTTCACAGATAATGCGCACGATGGGCGAGATGTCTATAGTGAATTCTTCAGGGCCCATCTTGCAGGTGATAATGCTACCACTTGCCGTGGGTTCAGCGAATATGGTGATAGCGGCTCCTGTGATGCTGCATGTGTCCTGAAAGCATGTCTACATTAAAATGGGTAACGTCTGTTGTTAGTCAAGATATCTGATTCAATTCGGTAGCTGGCCAAACCGCGCGTTCGTGTTTGGGTAGTAATAACGTATTTGGAATGAGATGGCATGAAATCGTCGCCTTCTAGCTACATGTAATTTTCGCAAGACAGCTGTAAGTGATTCTTGTCATATATGGATTATAAAGCTACATAGGCTTTACTGACCCATCCAATATCATTGAACACGTTAATGTCTCTCACTCGCACTGCGGATATAATTTACATGTTCGGTTGCGGAGCGGGTGCGGAGGCTCAAAAGCCCCGCCATTTTGACGAGTTCAGTAGGTAGTCCAGGTAAACATCGAGATTGAGACGTGGCCCCCATCAATCACACACATCTTCATATTGTTTGATGCACGCCATGCTCCTCAAGCAAGAAATATGATCTGTTGAAGGAACACATCGTCAGATGAACCAGATGTTCCAACCCGAGTCCACGAGTTGCTGGTAGGCCTGCGCGCCCAGACTTTGAATGCGATTGCTTGTATGATCTTCTTCGGCATTTATGAGGATTATTCCGTAAAGTATGAAAAACTTTTCGAGGTTTTGGTAAGCTGTCCATGCGAGTTAGTCGCGCGAATCCACCATGATGAATGGAACCCAGGAATTTGGCTATCAGTGTACATGTAGTTGCCGCCTTCAGAACGACCATGAAGAAATACGTGAGCAGAATGGGATCAAGTCTCTGGTAAACATTAGCTATAACACAGACCCTAAATTGCTTGAGAACGGAAGTCAACCACTGTGACTGAGGTGGGAAGAGTCTGGTATCATAAGACAAATCGAACGCTTGAGCGTCTCCCGGCACACCTAAATTTTGTCGATAGTTCAAGTAGACTTCACCCAAGTATAACATTCGTCAGATTCATGATGGTATGGTGGGCTCGGCGCTACTTCGTGCTCTCCTTGGATTTCCTTCCAATTGACCGGATGCTTGGCACAACGTTGATGTACTCACTTTAAGTTAATGAGACTTAGAACCGGAATGCACATCGACCGATCTGGACGACGAAGAAATTCACCCCACTTTCAGTATCTAAGAATGCGGGAAGTCAACTACCCACGCGTTAGCCGTGGGGTTCTTTGATGCATTTGGTTGGCGGCATCGGCAGTCACCGAGGTCCCTGCAGTTTCGTCAACGTCCTCTGTCCCAAAATAGGCTTCGATGAGTGACCGAGTGCCTGTTCGGGCAATGGAGACATGCAGCTCGTCGTTGGACGAAGCAGATCCAATCTGGAGGAATCTTGCGGCACATTCCATGACTCCATGGCGTCATCGATTAGTAGATAGCAGCAGGATTGCCTTGGTTGCATGGTTCAGGCCCAACGCACACTCGCTGCTAAGGAAGCCCGCCGATTTTGTCGAAGTTAAGGAGGATAAGCTTACATTATCGAGATACAAGTGAGGTCGCGTAGCAAACATTGACCGAAAAGCACTGTGGCCACCTGATGTAGCCTGTTTTCTCTGCCTCTGGAGATACCTGAATGAGAAAGTATGTTTAAGATAGCACAGTATGTGAGCTTGAGGGTCTATGAGTGACAAGATGGAAATTCTGCCCTGCGCAATAAGCATGACTCGAATATGGGCAGAGCTGGCCAACATGGATGCCGCAACCTGACTTTGAGACTTGAAAAGCTCTTCAAAGCTGTTTGTTATCACGTCTGACGACTTTTGGAGGGGCAAGTCGGGATCGTTTGGTTGTGGTTCGAGGAGCGGGGACTAGCCAATTTCTCAGAGATAGCATTGACCTGCGAGCTAGAGACTACCTGGTCCCGGACTCCTCATCGACGATCACAGCGGCTGAGGTGCTGTCATTGTGAGAATGGAAGCAGTTTGGCCAGGAGTGTTAGCAAAGTTCACGACGATGATACCTGATAACGAGCGGTGAGGTCGGTCAGGTAGCATCAATGGCGCGTCCCCAAGCCGGAGTGCATCCCCCGCCAACAAGGTTTCAAGCCTCGTGGCCTGTCAGACAAATTGACATGTCGGCGGTGAGCCATCATGAAAGTTCCGAAGAGTCGCAGAGACCCAGACTTGACAGATGACAGGTGCAGGGTCAGGGGCGTGGCATGTCGTTCATCCATGAGGCCCCGGAAGGTATCGTAGCGTTTGCAGTAGCGTGACGGATGCCCAACGTGTCGGTACCGAGGGCACGATGTTAGCGTGTTGTGCTGGGGCAGGCCGCACAACGTGCGATTGCGCGAGTCAGGTAGGTAATTAGCAAGCAAGGGGCAGTGATCCCCAGAGTTGAGTGGCGAGAGTGGGTTGAGAAGCGGGCAATGTTCTAATGTCACTGGCAGTGTTGGTTGAAGTTGAAGTTCAACTAAACTTATCGACAAGGGCAATAGGTTAAAACCTGGTGACTTTGTCTCCCGAACATGTGTTGCATGACCTTGCCTTAGTGCCTCCGATGTTCCCGGAGTGAGCAAACAGCTTCCCCGAGACGCCACCCGGCAAGGCCCCGGTTTCGCCGGCCCGGGTCTATGCAAGATCCCGGTCGGCTCCGAGAGAACACGACCCCGCGTTTTCGGCATTTACGCCTATCTCCCTCGGAGCATCTTCACACCCAGCACGCTCCGATACCTCATCAGTCAACTTTGTGGCCACTTCATCTTAGTCCGAGTTACCTACTAGAAATAACAATCTCATTTCGTAAATTCACATTTTGTACTTGTTCGTGTCTTCACTGTGTTGAGCCTGCGTCATCTACCTCGGGCTTTCACCGCACAACTCAAAGTCCTCCACAATGTCCGAGACTCCGTTTCCTGTCCTTAATGCCATCACTCCATACTGGCGCAAGGATCTGCACCCTCTAGACAGCCACCAAAGCTCCGAGACCTTACCGACGGAACAGGACATTGTCATCATTGGTGCCGGATACTCAGGTGCAGCTTCGGCGTACTACCTCTTGGATGGTACTGATCCCTCATTACGTCCGACTGTCACGATCCTCGAAGCCAGGCAAGCATGCTCTGGTGCAACAGCTCGCAACGGTAGGCCCAGGCTCATTCCCCCCGCAGCGTGGAAAAGTCCCAATCTAACATAATCAAGGCGGCCACGTAAGGCCGGATCTCTATGCTGGCCTTCCCGCTCGTGCCAGACGATATGGCCAAGAGACAGCAGATGAGATGGCGCTATTTGAGCTTGCCAATCTTCACGCCGTGAGAGACCTAGTACAGGAAAAGAAGATTGACTGTGACTTCCGGATGACTACATCCATGGCCGTCCTAAGAGATCCGGCACTTGCAAAGCCGATCAAGGAAGGCCTGGATGAGCTCCTACAGCGGGGTTCGCCAACCGCAAAGCTTGTTCATTACCTCGAAGGCAAGGAAGCCGCGACATTCTCCGGCGTAAAGGATGCAGCCGCTGTCTTTTCGTTCCAGGCGGGCTCGATCTGGTATAGTCTGCAACCATCCTGTTGTCCATGTCAGCGCAGAAGCTGACCCCTCTAGGCCCTACAAGCTGGTTCTATTCCTCCTATCTCAAGCTATTGACAAAGGAGCCCAGCTGCACACTCACACGCCCGTAACTAAAGTTTCCGATTCACAAGAGGGCGGCTTCTGGTCCGTTACCACGCCCAGAGGTGTCATTAAGGCCAAGACGGTCATCTACGCTTCCAACGGATACACGTCAACGATCCTTCCAGAGTACAAGAACCGCATCATCCCCGTCCGCGGGATCTGCAGCCATGTGGCTGCTCCCGACGGCGCCGAGCACCCACATCTCCCCATGACATATTCGCTACGGCATGGAACCAATCTTTACGACTACCAAGTCACGCGGCCAGACGGTAGCATCGTCGTGGGAGGCGCTAGGACCGAAGTCATCCCACGCGTCAACGAATGGTACAACGTCTGGGACGATTCGAAGCTCATCGAGCCTGCTGCTCATTATTTTGATGACCACATGCAGAGGAATTTCCGCGGGTGGGAGAACAGCGGGGCTAAAGTTGACAGCATCTGGACAGGAATCATGGGGGTGAGTTTCGCTGCGCCCCACGCACCTATTTGATGGATGCGAATGATGATCTGGAGATGCAAATAACTGACACGACTGGGCCTAGTACACCAACGATACATACCCCCATGTCGGGCCTGTACCTTCAAAACCGAGGCAATTCATCTGCGCGGGATTCAACGGACATGGCATGTCATTCATCTTATTGACAGCCAGGGGCTTGGCAAAGATCGTACGGGATGGTGTGCCATTTTCGCAGTCTGGCGTTCCGCGGTTGTTCGAGACTAGCGAGCGCAGACTCCAGGAGGAAAAGAACGAGCTGCTCGGATAACTCGCCGAGCTAACTTGAACAGCATATTCTGACCAGACCGGATGATATTTACATGTAGCATAGCGCATGAAGAGATGATCACTGCGAGGCCTATACGAGAAGTGTTGTGACTACTTGGGACACTGGATCGCGGAAAAGATCCCGCATAGAAGCGCTAGATGGCAAAGCGGCTACTACTAGTGCAACTTGAAAACTTTGCCAAAGGATCAGTCTGGCGCTGCACAAGTGCGGCGTTGTCAGCAGATGCCGAACCATCGTATCCCGGGTCTGGCCGAACCCCTGCCCAAACCAACCGTGCGACGCGGCATCGGACGATGGCCATATCTGCAAGGCTGAGCCCAAAATCTACTTTTAATACATTCGGCTACATGCAGGATTCGACAGGGAGGCTAAACGGGTATGACCATGTGGGCTGTCGTCTCTTATGTTGTGGGGATCCTTGCGGATGTGCATCGTTGGTGGTCAGATGCAGGGACGCTGCTAAGGCGCGTGTAGATGGTGGTTCTAAGAGGCAATGCTGGACGAGATGTCATTGATTTATTGTTCGTTAATCGTTGCACTATGTAAGATTATGTGACGCCATTGCTCGGCCACAAATCGACTCTCCCTGAACCCTTTACCCTTGGATTCCCACAATTGTTACTATCATTATTGTCGATCACTAGAAAATGCTGTTAGAAACACCGCATCACCATGTGGTCGAGAACTCGAGCTTACAATATCGATCCATCTAGCCATCCACTTATTGACGGCAGCCTTGGCCTCGTCAACGAGACCAAGCTCGAGAAGCAGCTGGACGGAGCCACGGATTCCAGAGTCGAGAGCAGAGGCGATCCAGGCGTGGGTGTAGGAGGTGTGCTCGCCAATGAAGATCATCTGATTCCAATGTTAGATTTCTCGGCTTTTCTCAGTAATGAAGTCAGGAGTAGGCCATCGCTTACGTTGTCGTATGTCTTGAAATACTCGGGGATGTAAAGCTGATGCTGGCCAGCAACAGGGCTGACCCAGCTACCGCTCTCGAGAGGGTCGAGGACCCAGCAGCGGCGGTTGTACTTGCCCGTGTACAGCTCACGAGTGTTCTCGCCGTGGATCTCAACCATGGCATCGAGAACGTACTGGACGTGCTCCTCCTCCGAGACGGAAGCCCAGCGGTGGCCCCAGTCGCCCGAGATGTAGGAAGCCAACATGGTGGCCTTGCCGGTGCCGTTAATGTTGTACGAGGGGTAGCACGTGGAACCAATACCAGCAATGTCAGAGGTGGTGCTGCAACCGCCGACAATGGGGTTTTCGTAGTGCTCCCAGAAGCGCTCAGAGAACTCGAGGGCAACCTTGCAGGCACTGGTGTAGGGTAGCTCCTTGATAGCGTTGGAGATGGTCAAAGGCAGGGAGGGGAGGCGCCACTTGCGGATGATGGAGAAGGGGACAGCCAGCAGGGCGTAGTCGTATTCAGAGTTCTCAAAGGTCTGGTTCTTGAAGGACTCACGCCACTGGAGGTTGACCTTTGAGTTCTCAGAGTCGAACTGCACGCGCTCGATCTTGCGGTCCATGGTGGTGATGTCGTCAACGAGAGGGTGGAAAGCCAACGGAAGACGGCTGAGACCGCCGTCGATAGTCTTGTAAGAAGCAGCCTGGAAGTACATGCCCTCGTAAAGAGTGTCCCAGAATGAGGTGGCGGTGTAGCTGCCCAGGGCATCCGTCGAGTTGAGGGAGCCCTTCAGGTAGTTAACCATGAAGGCATACTCGGACCAGACATCGCCACCAAGACCCTGAAGACCAGAGTCGAGGAATTCGCGGTGGGCCTTGAACATGTTTTGGGCCATGCGGACAGAGAAGTCGCTACCAGGAAGATATTCATCGACCTTCTCATTGAGGGTGTTGGTGGACTCATCGTAGACAGTGGCGACAGCCAGAGAAGAGTTGGCGGCGATCTGAGCCAGAGTAGGGGGCAGACCATTGGGAAGCTTGATACCGTTCTTGTAAGAGAGACCGTTCTGGTTGCTCTGGATCCAGGGGATGAAGTCGACGCTGAGGTTCTTGTCATGCTTGTTGAGCTCGTTCATCTCCGCGGCGAGCTGGAAGACGAGCTGGTGATCGGTGATGTTGTAGGTGGTGTTGGTCTTGGGGTCGACGTAGTGCTCGGGGAAGCGCATGGGGCCCATCTCTTGGTAGGAGTAGTCAAAGGGACCACCACTGAGATACTCGGTGTGAACACGGCCTCCCAGACGCTGGCCGGCCTCAATGATGCTGATATTGGTCATGCCGGCTTGTGAGAGGACGAGGTAGCTCATCAGGCCAGCCATACCGGCGCCGACGATGGCGACGTGCTTGGACTTGGCAGCGTCGACATCCACTGTAGTGGGCTCCTTATCCTTGAGGAGGTTGACCCCCTCGAACCAGGCTCCGAGCGTGTCAATACCGGTGCCGTTGTTCATCTCAATAGCTATGGCGCGTTAGATTAGGAGACAATACAGCAATATCGTGAGCGCACTTACATCTCTTCAGAGCCCGGCGCTTCCACTTGTGGTGAAGAGTCTGTGGCTCACTTCTTCCCTTCAACTCGCCAGAAACACCCCACGCGGAGATGCATCCATCAGTGGCAGCATCCTCGGGGAGAACCCAGACGAGGCGCTGAGAGTCGCGCACCTCTGACTTGACGATGGTGTGGTGAGCATCCCCCATGGAGGCACCTTGACATGAACCGTAGGTGAATGTGACGGTCTCCTCGATGGGCTCCTCGAGAGTGATGTGAATGTTGGACACACGGGATGTGACTGCGCTCCGTGTCTCGAGCTTCATGGGAAGGCCAGAAGCCGCCGCAAGGGCGCTTCCGGCAACGAACGAAAGGAACCACCGAGCCATTGTAAATGGAGAAGGCCGATCAGAGAGAATCCGGGGTAAGCTTGGCGTGAGGACGAGTCTCTGTAATCCCTCCTCTCCTCGTCGAAGATGCGCCCGCACCTCTTTATAGTCAGGCACAGGTGTCGATGATAGTACACCGGTAGCGAGTAAGACGCCGGTCACTACCCGGGCTGTCGTCAAATCGATATGGAGCTCGGTGTAGCCTCGAGAACGCAACCCCCACAACCACAGTATGAACCGTACCACCGGTGCCCAATCCATGAACATTACAATATTGGTCATCGGATGACAACCGGTTGGGACTTGGCGGTGTCGGACCGCTTACACTCCAAGTAGCACTTGGACGACAGTAGATACAACTTCAAGGGTAGCTGGTACTGGGGCAATATTCGGCAGGCCAGGGCTCCATCGGAGACTTTCCCGCGCCTTTTTTCTCTTCTTCCCTTGCCAGATGCATTAACTATACCAGAAGGAGCAGGTGAGAAACGTCAATCAAAAGGCACTTCCATGGCTCACCATGTGGTTGCCATGCAAACTGACGTCGCACACGGGCGACTGTCGTCTGTCTGGAGGATCCGAGTCATTGGATGTTGGACGTTATCAGTGGAGGCGGTGCGGTGCAGGCGGGAAGATAGGAACGAGCGGCCATAGCGGCCGAATTTCAAGCTGTTTGGCGGGGCAAACAAACCCATGCCGTATGCAACGGCCCCGTTCTCTTGGAGTCTTAGCCTCCGGAGGCCGCGGTGGGGGAAGAGGAGAGGGCGCGAAGGATTGTGTGGAGGCTCAAGGTTACAGAGACCGGGGACCTATCAATTTGTTCATCTGCCGTAGCCATGTCATCGGCGCCCTGGTTCGTCTCTTCGCGCCCTTGGGATGAACATGGCAGATGGGGATCATGGGATAGGTAGGACGTGGATGTCAGGGATGTTGGTATAGACTTGCAGTTTGCCGGTTCACTCCGGAAGAGTCATAGATTGAAGTCATCTACTCCGTACTCCGATACTCCGAAGAGATAGCTTCTGTTGTCCGACGTACCTTATGGTGATGGTTGTGCAGTCTTACATCCGAAACCGCGAGCAATGCATTCTGTCAAGATAGCGTAAGCTCGCCCGACATCAACTTGTGTAACTGAACCAGACGGGTCTTTCACGGCCATTCTATGGGAATAACCTAGAAGAAACTGCCTTGCGCCGCTTGGCGTATTCCTTTTCTCTGACATAAGCAAGTTGGATGAGGCTGCCATGTCTTCAATGATAGATAAGATTCATCCGTTGATAGATAGGCTCAATAGAGGAGACCACAACTTTGTGGCATCTCGGATTCGTATGCCTGAGTAGACCGGCCCGGCTCCGGTAACGGGGTGCTCTCAAGGTTGATTTACAATCATGGAATGCTCCGTAGATTGCTAGAAGTAGTGTGGATTTCAGTGGGAAAGTTTCTGTCTTTGCCAGCCGGAAACCTGGGAACCTCGAATCAATAATGGAACGTAACTTTGAGGGGAAGACAGAAGGAAAGAGATCAGAGACCCCTAAGGGAAGCTTGAAGCGAGTTGAGATAAGGACAAATACCGCAGCAACGCAACTTCGGGTGAATTCAAGGTTGAGGTGGACATGAGTGCCGAGCTCCCCACTAATTGGTTGAGATAGCCGATCCGAATCCCACGGGAAAAGATAAGAGATGTATTGGTTTTAGTCTCGGCATGTGGGCGGGAAGCAAGGTGGTTGGGTGGTGTTGTTAGGAGAATCAGAACGTGAGAGAGAGGAAGAAAAGAAGAAACGGATAACTTCTTGTCAAAAGTCATGATAGTTTGTAGTTGAAAGAAGCTGAGCAGAACTCTCCTTGGCAACCGAGAGTTTCGGGAGTCAGCCATGGCTCTTGATGGGGGAATACCTTAGAGTGTGACGGGCGCAAGGGTTCAAGTTGCAGAAAGCATCCTTTGGCGTAATGGCGACATTGACAGCCAATAAACGCCCCGGAATGACAGAGGATTCCGAGCGAAAATCTCCACAATCGCAGAGTGCCGAGAGTTTTGGATATTGAACGCACCACTTGGCTCGCTTCCGCGGCTCTGCAACTCTCTTCTCAACTGCCCAAACCCGTTAATTCCCCATCGTCTTTCCGTTGAATCGGACAGGACCATCTACCTGGGAGAGAGATCTCATCGCAAAATCTGGGGTAAGTTACGCCCGCAACTCTACGCCCGCACCATCGCATCTGCCGTACACCCAACCTCTATCCGTAAACCGGTCACACATCACCACGTAGCGTCAGGAACCACCGGCTGGCATCTCATCGCATTGGGCAGAGAGAGCGAGCGAGAGCCTGGAGTTACACCAGAGTCGGGTCCCGTAGCCTACGAGAAGCACGCAATGGCAGAAGCCGCAGCATCAGAGACCCCGCCATGGTGGGCGGCCTTTCCCGCTCCCAAGGCCAAGTCACCGGAAATCGAGGCAGACGAGCTGATGGGTTTGCTTGAGGCTCAGGCTGCAGCTGGCAATAATACACCTCGAGACTTTCTGCTCGTTGATGTGCGCCGGGACGACTTTGAAGGCGGCACCATCTCAACGTCCATCAACTTTCCCGCCCAGTCCCTCTATCAGACAAGACCAATCATTCATCAGCTGTGCAAGCAAGCTGGTATCAAGCGTGTTATTTTCTACTGCGGTGAGTTCCGCCGTCTCTCTCTTGTGACTGTCTAGATCTTCCCTTTACTTTTGGCTTAACCCTCCTGCTGAAGCCACTCAGGAAGCAGCAATGGTCGTGGCCCTCGGTCGGCGAATTGGCTACAGGACTATTTCGACGAGCTTGGCGAAACTGCCGTGCAGGCCGTCATCCTCAAAGGCGGCATCAAGGGCTGGGTTCGTAGGTACGGCGGTCGCATGATGGACTGGTATGACGAAAAGGCCTGGGCCAGTCTCGACAAGTAAAGATGCCTCGCTCCGTGCCAGCCTATGATTGCAGGCTGTGCAGTCGTACTTCTGGACCGTTTGAATGTGACATCGTTGTGCTGGTATCTAGCATATTTCATCCCCATCCTTGTCACTGAAACCAAAAATCATCTTTTGCCGTCATAACGCCAACTTGTAAAACCTGTACTGCATTTTCGCGGAAGTCAACCACCAGATGAAGATGCTCCGTTTACCGCTGGTGGTTGCGATCGTCGCCGCCGATTCTCTCGAGAGCCTCCAGCATGACAACGGAGTTGCCGCGGATGACCTGTCGTTGTTAGTGTCCCATATCCCAAGGTCGGAAAGGGTGTCTTGCGCAACATACCACCATGCCTATCCGAACCTTCTCGCCGCCCTCCTTCTCCTCGACAGCCTCGTCCAACACAATGTTCAGGAAAACCTTTGGCATATGTCAGCGGGAGTTGCATCCAAGCAGATCGTCAGGGGAATGCGTACATCGTAACCGCGGAGGACACCGATGACCTTGCGGCTGCCGTTGAGCTGCACAAACAGTCTCTTGTCGAGGTACTGTGTCACGAGGTGTTAACTTCCTAAAGTCTCGAACTGCATTGGATGAGACAATGAGGTATGGCCAAGCAGCTTGCATGGCTTCCGTTATCTGGCAGTACATCGAACAAGTCTGGAGACTCTGGTGTGTCTGTAAGAAATCGGGGCTTCCGTACCTTCTTCAGCTCGGGCTGTGCGGGCGCCATCTTGACTGCTTTTGTGAGTGGGTGTAGGAGTGCCGAGGAGCGATGCAATGGGTGGGTGCCGATTTGATGATGTCGCGCGAGGTGAGCTTTGCGACGCGACGGAGCTCTCGACAGCCTGACCGAGGGGATCTCTCTGCCACCAACCGTTATCTGGAAAATTGGGTGGAGTCACGTGGAGATAATCGTCTTATCGGCGCGTTATCGCCAACACCTTTTTGAGACGGGAGGTCGCGAAGCTGCCTGACTGACATCACACCGAACAAAAGTCACACTCGCAACCTCATATTACACAAAATGAGTGCATTTACGCCAAAACGGAAAGCGAAAGTAATCAAGGTTCTTGATGACGACGAAGATGACGCGGGAAAAGCGTCGCCAACTGGTCAAGAGCCACTAAAGGATGGTGAGTCTGCAGATCCCTTCCAGAGACCTTGCGCTGATATCGTTCGCAAGGCTAATGGGTCTCTAGAGGGTGAACCGGTAGCAGTAAAATTCACAAGAAAGCCTTTTCGACAGTCTGGACTGCGCAAGAGCATCAACTTCAACGAGACCGACGACTCAAACGGCGGCGTCGCGATCGGCGCAACCACGAAACCCAAACCCAAAGTCGCTGCACAGGACGATGAGGATGAGGATGGACCCGTAGTTATTCGTCCCTCAGTGAGCCGTTCAAGCTCACTGAAGCAAAAGAAGCGCCAGTCCTCCTCAAGGTTGTCATTTGGTGGTGCTGGAGGGGATGGCGACGAGGGAGCAAAGTCGGGATACACGACCCCCAAGAAGTCGACTCTGGGTCACCAGGCACTCGAAAACAGCGCGCTCAAGAACCGATTACCCATGCGATCATTCCGCGACGATGATGATGATCGTCCAAAGTACAGCAAAGAATACCTCAGCGAACTACAAAACGAGACGCCAAACACGCCGCAGAACCTAACGTCCCTGCGCATGGAAGACGAAGACGGGATGGATCTGGACTCCTCCGAGCTAGAGGGCGCGTTGATAGTCAACCAGGATGAGTTTGCATCTCGGCCGGCACAAACAAATATTCTCACCGAAGCCGAGATCCAGGAGAGGAAGCAACGCAGGGCTCGGCTGGCGCAAGAGCAAGATGGCGACTTCATCTCCTTTGACGACACCGAGGACGGCGGGACCTCTCTGCGGAAGAAGAAAGCCGAAACTCGCCTCGTCGCCGAAGATGAGGATCTTGGCGAGGGCTTCGATGACTTTGTCGAGGATGGAGGCTTGTCGCTGGGTAAGAGGGCCGAAAGGGAGGAGAAGCAACGCCGCAGGCGCGAGATGGCTGAGCAGATCAAGATGGCCGAAGGAGACTCGGGTGATGAGTCCGAGGCGTCCGAGGCGGAACGACGCGCAGCTTTCGAGGCGGCACAGACAAGGTCGGGAATGGACGGCTTAGAGAAGCCCGAGCGCAATCCCGCCGAACAGCTCCTGCAGGTCCCGCCAAAGATTACGCCGCTGCCGAGTCTGACGGATTGTCTTTCAAGGTTACAGGCTACGATGCGCGCCATGGAGCTCGAGCTTGCGGAGAAGAAGAAGCGGGTGGATGAGCTGACACAGGAGAAGGACGGCATCATGGTCAGGAAGGACGAGGTGCAGCAGCTGCTCAACGAAGCTGGACAAAAGTACACTGCTGCTGTGGGCAACGGAGCTTCGGTCGAGTCGACTACGCAATCGCCAGCTAGACAGATTACGAATGCCGGAGCGAGCGAGCTGAGGGTTGAAAGGGGCCTCGAGAGCCTGGGCACGACACCGAATAGTCGTCCAGACGTAGGAGATGTTGACTAGCTGCCGTACTTGGGACCGACAGTACCTCATATACCGCGATACCCCAGATTAGAAAAGACGAATAATGTTATCATAGCTTCAATTCTTTTCGATTGTCTAAGAAATAACCTCTCCGTAAAAAGAGAGAAATGTCCTGCCAATGCCAACGCCGCATGAGAATACACCTATGGTACAGACTACCACTTGCCGATTATAAGCACAATCACCCTGCCTTGATCGAGGTCAAGGCCCATTCATCCCTATTGTTCAATGGAGACCATCCAACAACGATCCTTATTTGGTCTTGGAGACGCCAGCGCCAATGACACCCGGAAGCTTCTCCTCGCCAACACTGAAGAGCAGACCAATAGCAAAGGTCAGGGTACCAACCATGGCAATACCGAAACCGACGAACAGCCAGAAGGGAACGCTGACGTCAATCTTGCTGCAAGCCCTGCCGCCCCAGTGAGTGACGCTGCCAGTTGTCTCGTTCTTAGTTCCGAGGCACATGCAGGAGAAGCATTCCTTTCCGGCTGACTGGCCATCCGCTTTGGCGTACTTGTTCAAGCACTCACCGTGGCCCGAGCAATTACCAGTGGCCTTGACACAGGCATCCTGCGAGCCAAAGCAAGAAGGAATAGTACCTCTCTCAGCATTTCCAACGAATGGCGCCGTGCTCTGGACTGGGGTAGTGGGTGCGGGCGGGTCGTGGTCGTCGGTCTCGGTCATAGTCATGACTTCCTCGGCTTGGCGGCGACGGAGCTCCTCGGGCTTCGAGGACCAATGACGCAACTTGGAGTTGCGAGATGACTCGGGCATCGCGATAATGATGGTTTCCATCTCGCCGTTGGCAGCAAGCTGCTTGAGAAGGGTGGCGTTCTCAGTGAGGGACACAAGGATTGACGAGTCCTAAGGAGAGAAAGGATTAGTTTCTTGGCGAAGGATACAGGGTCTGTTGGAGTATTCGATGCTCACCTTCTTGGTATCATATCTGACGACAGACGACTTGCCACTCCAACATTGTTGGGCAAAGGGGTTGATGGCCTTATCGAAAGCACAGTTCTTTGCGGTGACGCCAACCGATGGCAAGTCGTTGGCCAGCAGCATATCATTGGCCGTGATGGAGGGAGCATCTCCAACTCTGAAGCTAGGTCCAGAGGTAGCAAGAGACTTCTGGAGCGTCTTGGCATCGTCGGCAGTGATGCCCTCAAGCATGACGACGAGCTGGGACGGGTTTGTGGAGGCGGCATTGCTGAAGAGGGCCTGAGGGGCTTTGCCGAACTCGTTCAAGTAGCTGACAGCCTTCTCGTTGGAGATAGACTCGGGAAGATCCCAGGATGCATGTTGACCCTCGGGTGACAGGCGTTGAAGGAGGATAAGGCGGGCAATCTGTCGTGGTAATGATGGAATATCGGAGCTCGAAGACTGCTTCGATTGCAGGAGATATACGTCAGCGGGCTGGTCCGAAGAGAGCGCGGTCGCGACGCCGGTCAGGGCAGCCGCAAGCCCTACGGAGAGCTTCATGGTGTCGTCTGATGTGGTTGGAGCTCGTAGATGGGGATTCGGTGATGATGTCGTGGAGGGGAGGAGGATGTGGATGCGACTGTTTGCTGCTTGCTGCTCTCTCACCAAGCTGCGGCGTGCGTCGAGGATGTCGAGCTCACAGTGCTGCGCCTGCACGCTGCTGCAACTGCCACACGTTCCAGGCCAAGCCCATCCAACCCCCGTGTCCCAAAAGCGGGTATCGGCAGAGGTGTTCTTCCGGCTGCTATGCTAGGATGATGCTGCTTAGGTAATTCCTAGCTCCACTTTGGACCGGGAGGAAGGTTCCTTGGTCGGTGGACATTCCCAAATGATCCGTGCTTGGAGTTCTTAGGCTTGCACTGTACGTACCTGCCGGGACAGTTGGGACTTCCCTTAGGTAAGCTCCGGGCCCTTTTGAAGCTGCCGCATTCCTCGCCGCCATCAGTCAACGGTTCATGCACCACGGCAGAAGAGAGTGGCGGGACGTTATCGGAGGGGCTTTCGTCACACTGTGTGCCGATAGCAACGCATTCACGCATCTAGAACCTCCCGTTGGTACGATGCGAAAGAGAACCGGTAGCCGCCTCTAATCCAACGTTGTCATACATCGCACATCAGAGGAGTCACCTAAGCCGCTACGAGGGCGCTGTCAGACACCAGACCAGCTTCAACTCGTTGTATTGCGCTCCGATTCTTCTTTCAACAACCGCGACTTTACCGACTTCCATGGTTTGCCTCTCGTCGCCATCCATCCCGCTGCCGCCGCCGCCGTCGTTGCCATCCTCTATCCATCTCCACCAACCATCAAAAGAACCACGACGAAGCTGAAGCAAGCTGAAGCATCACGATCGACACCCTCGAACTCTTACCGAAAAATACTCGTCCTTTCTCCGTGCCCGGCAGCCGGCGCTCGGCGAGCGGCGAGCCCCCTCTACAGTGATGTGGCGGGTATTCCGACCTCGCGCTGGCATATCGAATGCGAGCACCTTGGCTGTTCGCGCAGTCGCGCCACAAATTCCCAGCCAACAGACTGTTATCGTGCAGAGGGTGAAGCTTTCAAAGCCCAGATTTAGGGCCGGGTATGTCCACATTACACAAATCGTGTCAAGCCTGCTTCCACTAACCTTGCGCCTAGAACTTTCCTCATCGGAGCAGGCATTTCCCTCGCTTGCTGGCACATTTACTGGTCCACCGTTTTAAATCCATTCTTTCGGCATGTAGATCGCGAATACGAGAAGCTGTCACCGGCGGAGAAGAAGGCGCTTGACGAAGAAATAGCAGAGGAGGAGGCCGAGCCGTGGTTCATTCCGTTCCCCTTTACGACAAAATCCGTCAATCAGCCCCCGTACAAGGGCAGCGACCCCGAGTGGCAAGAGTTCGTCAAACTCAGCAAACAAAAGGGGACGCAGACCCAAATTCGCGGTAAGTGCCTGTCCTGGGAGTTGGCTGCAAGTGTTCTCCCGACTGATCGCTGTCACTAGCCGACCTTGCCAACTGGGTGAAGTCCTCGGTCGAGAGGCATCCGGTAATCACAGCTAGATGTGGCAACTCAGTAAGGCTTCGTAGATATTGGCTGGACATCGACTTTCCATACCGTCCACCACCGGTGTTCTACTCTTCTGGGTACGCAACCTCAAACCATTCCATCATTTGCGATCAGATAGCCACTAACAGTACGCTCTAGACTACTACTACAAGGCGATGGATTGTACTGGTCAACTCAGCCCGTTGACTCATTGACCGTTAAACGCCTACAAAAGATACTTTGGCCGGATGCAATTGCCGTGTCTTCGTGGGCTTTTACGAGTGCGCTGTTCAAACAACACTACATGGATATCTCCCGAGCCCTTGGCTTCGAGTCAAGCAAGCCTGTTCAAATGTTTCCATCAGTCAGCGGTGGCAACATGCAACAAAAGACTCAGGGGCCTCTTCCGTCTGCCAACAGACAGACTCCGGATGGCACACCGGCAGAGAATGCCTCTCACAATGTCAGCAAGACAACGGATTCATCACAGGCAGACGAGCCAGAGAGCGGCGGCAAGACAAACTTTGTCAGGGACACTGCCATATCCCATATAGAGGGGATGAAGCAAATAACAGACGGCCCTGCAAGAGAATTCCGAAGGAAGCTTGCACAGTCCTGGAAGCCCACACGACCGTCTCCTCCGCGCGGCTGCATCCTCGTTTCAGGCTTCGTCGAATGCGAACTACCCAAGGGCTTCGTATTGATCGACGTCTGGGGATTCTGGAATCCCAAGACGGAGACTTTTGAGACGAAATCAACCTTTATGAATGTACGGAGGGTACAGATGAAGCAACAATCCCCTCGGCGGAGTTGATGGAATTCGCTAAGACACTCCCACCTTTTCTCATTGCATATTGGCGGCGTTAAGGTAGCGGTGAGCATCTACCTTTGGGTTAATTTGGCATTGGCTGGCGATTTGATCTCACCGGCACCACCCCATCATCGATCGGGGGTCTAGCGGAACACTCTTCTGGTTTCTGAACGAGCATTCAATAGGGTACAGCACAAGAGTGAGCGTTTGTTCGATATCAAGATACCATAGACGAGCACAGAAATGGGGCTGGGCCAAGACAGTAGAGAGGCGCGACGAGTTCCCTCTGTCTCCTACAATGCCCTCTTTTTCTTCTGCAAATCATTTTCACTTGAAATCCTGCTATGGTGCTGTTTCTCTCCGTGACACGATTATTTGATTCCAGTGTCACTTGGTCTCCTGCAAACCTCTTGAGAGACGAGTTGCCGGGTTCGAGAGCAAAGGATCAAGTTGGCGTGAGAAGTCTTGTTATTCGCCGAAGCTTTTGCATTCTATTGCAAGAGTACGGATCAAGCACAACACGATTGAGAGCCACTAAACAGACTGCCGGTACCCAACTAGGCGCAGCAGGCAAGTGGGAATGGGAGTCCGCGCCTGAAGTTTCTTTCTCCTAATCTTGCGAACGCAGCAGCGTCTGGGAGCACTGAGGTAAGTACCTACCAAAGGAAATACCGAGATGTCTATTCCTCGGAAGGATCGCGGGCGTGAGGCGGCTCAAATGTGTGGCTGCGCTGCCCCGTTGAGGCCTCTACGAAAATGAGGCCAAATGGCAACTCCAACATGCCACAACTACAACAATCCGCCGGTTGACTCAGCCCGAATTACAGTTTGATGAAATAATCCTGAGGAGAAGGCGGCCTCAGTCTTTGTGCGCATACATAACGACGCAGATTAGCCTACGTCTCCATCCTCCCGTTAGATCATCAGCCTTCAACCATCATCAACTCTGAAGAGATCATCAACAAACATCCATTACCATGGCTGCACATCTCCAGCGCCGACTGCTTCAGGACATTGCCGAGCTACAGCGAAACCCATACCCTCGCGTTGCATTACATACCAGAGAAAACGATGTTCGCCGGGCATGCCTTGTTCTGCAGCCAGAGGGCTGGATGCCCATGCACACCACCGTCAACTTCGGAGACCGCTATCCTCTCGTCGCGCCCACAATCAAGATGAACACGCGAATGGTGCATCCCAACGTCTTTGACACCTATATCTGCGCATCAATCCTCAACACGTTCGAGGGATACACACCGGCGTATACCCTCAAGGGCATTGCCATTCAAATGCTGAGCTTTTTCAGCAGCGATTCATTGGAGCAGGAGGGCGGATATTACACCGAGCCTCTTGAGTGGTATCGGCAAGAGAGCCTCAAATGCCGGCAGGACTTCAAATGTCCTCACTGCAACTTTGATGGAACCAAGAGCAAGGCAGACTTTAGAAGAGCTCGAAGGCACGCCTTGAAAGCCTTGTCGCCGACGCTATCATCATCATCATCCTCCTCGTCAAGTGCTGCGACTATAGTGGCTGCCTCCAAGGACCACCAGGGATGTGTCTTGGCCGCTTTGCCTGACGAGCTCCTGCTAGAAACTCTTCACAGTCTCGACTTCGCGGACCTCCTCTCCTTTTCACGGGCTTGGCCGCGGATTGCAGACATGCTTCGCGGGTATGATGTTATCCGATTGAGGGAACTCCAATGCTTTGTGACCAAAACCAACTTCCGAGATACAAAGCTCGGTGTAGGCGTCATGGTTCCCAAACGCAAGCGGGCTATAGAGTCAGAGTTTGACCTCATCTCTCTGCCGGCATTTCAGGACCTGGGGGTCCGCTTCTCCGTCCACAATGTCGCCTTTGAACACTGGCTTCCGCTGCCTCTGAGCCGCCGTCACTGGAGCTCCGTCAAAGATTATGTTACACCCGTGATGCATAGTCTAGCCGTGGCTATCTCGTTACCGAGCGCCAACAACTCTGCAGTAGGAGTTCTCGCCGCCTTCATGAACGACATTGTTGTGCGGCTCAACCAAGTAGATGCACACACATCATCTAGCGGCGCAGCATACAGAGGCAACGATAACGTCAGGATTCCACAGATGAGTACATTGCGGCACGCGTCGGAGAAGGCGATCGAGTCTTACTTCCATCTATTTCACCTTCTGCTCTGCCTGGCGACGGCGGATCCCAGACTGGTCACCGACGCCAACAACAAGATCAAGAGATTCATGAGTGGTAAGACCTCCAAGATCTCCTGTCCGAATCTCGGCCACCTCCTGGTCTACCTCCTCATCAGCGACATCGATATGACGGAGGCCATGAGAAAAGCGATCATCACCGAAGCCATCACACGCAATGTCGTCTGGATGCTCGACAGGAGGGGCTCCAATATGCCGGAGTTGAGCTATCTCGAAACTGATCACGTCTCGGGGTATCGTCTGAAGAGAACCTTTGAGGCGAATCGCACCTCATACCGGCTCCTCATGTTTTCGGAGCTCTTCCGCCGCATCGCCAGACCGTCCAACGAAAAGGCCTTGGAGAAAATCCGGGACGAGCTCTTCGACCGTCATGGCGCACCCCCTCCTGGTGCTGCTCTTCAGCTTTCCACCGAAGTCCGCCGCCTTCATGATATCGACAATTTCCCCCATTTCTTCAACGAAATGGGAATTGTACGCCATCCGTCAGCTGAAAAGTTCACCAGCGTTCTACGGGACTGTGTCAAGGACAGCATGAAAAGAGGCTACTCGGTCTGGGCCTTGCCGGTCCCTACTGCTCTGGCCTTGCGATCCCGGATAGAGCCCAACGTTGGAGTTCGAGCAAACCTTGTGGTGAGGAATCCTCCTGGTCCTCGCTACATGTCGAGAGTCACTTTCTTCCCTGACAAGGACCGACGGATCTGAGCAGCTACCTGGCAAGAGGCTGAGAGCGGGAAAGAGAGATTTTGCTTAAGCCGAGCAGTCGAGTTATTGGAGATGATACCCCTGATGAAATAGAAATTCGAATAAAAACAATCAGTTCGGTGCACTATAAACCAAGTCATTAAACTCCCAGTGCATTGCTCAATTTTGAACCTAATCGTTGACATGGAAAGAATCTTTCAATTGACTAAATCTTGACAAGGCGCGGTTAATGTGTGCAGAAATCTGAGGTATGATAGTCAAAATATAGAGTACATTCAAGTTTCTAAATAAATCTCCATTCGCTCAATATCAATCTTTTTTGTGTATGTCTCTCTTATACAAAAATTCTGGAGATCTATTCCACTGGAAGACGTTTTCTTCTGTCTTGACCTTCTGATTTCTAGTACACCCAGCAGGTCAATTGTCGTGAGGCATCGTCCCGCTCGCGAGGTCCGCACCAGCAAGGTGAAGGCAACTCGGTGAGCACGGGTGCCTTCGGTGAGCCAGAAACCTTGTTAGTCAGCAGGTGTCTTACGTAAGGCCGCTGCAGGGGCCCCCGGCCGCTCTCACTCAACGTCACTCCCTCCCCCCCAACTTTCACGTCCCTTCGTCCTCTCATGGTCCCCCGAACTCGTCGTTCTTCGGGTCCAGCCCGTGTAAGTGGCTCTGCGAGGTCTTCATCTTGGATATTGCTCACATTTCCATTCCCGTTCTCGTTCGTAGACAAAGACTACAGGCACGATATGTGCATTTCTTTTTGGATCTCACTTACACCTTCCTTGCCTTGCCTAGCCTTACTTTGCCTGCTGAGATCCGGCGGCCTCCCTGTCGTTGTCATGTAACACCAGGACTCTCTACATCTTAATTAACGATGGCTTCAACCACTTCAACAACAAATACCTCGGTTCAAGAAAATAAGAGTCAGATTCATTGAGAGCTCCCTTGTGATTGAATAAATCATCACAGATTATTGGTTGCCTGTCAACCTGTCCATTCGATCTGGACGAACGCCTTGACCCAACGCCATACACCAGGACGTCAATTCAGAAACAGCCATACATGGATCAGCCATCTCGACCAATCTTAATCAAAAGACGACAAACTGCGTCTGATTGCATCACGAAATGATCCAAGGATCCCTCTTGGGTTGCTCTCACCCTCTCCGCGTGCGACTGCGTCCCTCTACAGCCGCCATGTAAGCCAAGGCATCATCCACTGCGCCAAAGTCAGCAATTGAGCTTCACGAAACAGCGCATCACGATGTGTCATTGTGAGCTTGTAAAAAGAGCACTGACATTGAGACTCAACCCTCTCCCGACCGGCAATGTACCAGGCCTCGTTGATCCTGTCTCGCTCAGATTCATCGCCGAGGCAGGGGAAGAATTGGACATCTGTCGACAGCGGTGCCAGGTCTGGTGTGCGGAGCCTGGTGATGCGGGGAGCCCCAGGCGCTGACGATGAGTGGGCGGGGACTGTGAAGTCCTCGTGAATGTATTCTCCAGCATCATCGGGGAAGAGGATGAAGTCATCGTATGGCGCATACTTGGCTGGAAAGTCGCTGTCGTGGAAGCTGCTGCTGCTGCCTTTTTCACGTCCGGATCTTGTACATGGTTCTTCGTTGTGGGTGCTTTGGCTAGTCCATGATCCCATTGCAACAAGGCTGTCATGATTCGGTCTGCGTCTCCGTTTCTGCGATACGGGTTCAGGGCTTCGTCGGTATGACGAAGGCTGGTGCCTCGAGCGCGGAGATGGTGGCAGGCTGTACAATTGCTCATCACTCATGGGATTGGACACGACGCTTTCTCTGTAGTCGGCAGGGTGGTATGCCCGCATCGACGTCTGTGTAGGGGACGCTGGCGAGCGTCGATCACGTGGCCTGGTAAGGGCATGTCTGTGTCTGTGACCGTGAGAGAAAGTGCTTTCCTGCGATGGCACCATTGCTGAGTATGTCTGACGTCCTGGGGTCATTGGAGACCCGGATTGTGGCACAGTTGTGAAGTCTGAGTGAGTATCAAAGTCGAGAGGCAAGAAAGCCATGGTGCTATCTCAATAAGGCCTCGTAAAGCAGGACCGGAGATGCTTTGGATGGAAGCTGGGGATGAATGAGGAAGCTTTGGGATGATAGAGTGTATCAGTTGATGAGAGAATGTGATGGAGGATGAGGGCCTGTAATTTCTCCTTCGGGGCGGTGCAGAGGAAGTGTGTGCCAAGGAAAGTATGAGAGGTCTGAGATGGGCTCTGCTGAGATATAGGGACCTGTCCTGGATGGAAAGCGAAAGTCAAAGGGGAATTTGGGCCATTGGAGAAGTTTCTCTGATAATACGGAAGAAAGAGAAGGGGAGGAGGATGGGATGTGAGATGGAGGGTGGTGGGAAGCCCGAGGGCTTTATATGGTGAGTGCTCCCCCGAGCTGCGCTCTCTCTTCCAAGTGGCCAATCAGGGAACAGTATTCCACTTCCCCCGTTGCGTGCCACCGACCCCGACACGGAACCCGGGCCCGCACTAGACCGATCCTCTTCCTTCTTACATCCAAGTTGGATGCCTTCTCCCATATCCCTCGTCGTTGATCTCATTGAGTTGTGCAATGGCTCGCAAAGTCTCATGAAGCCGGCGTGAGGTTGCTGGATGTCGTTGAGCCTCCTGGACGATGGTAGGCGATGCTGGACGCATGTCTCGATTTCCTTCTTCCTTCTTTGCCTTTCCAGAGTCTCTCATTGTTTCACACCGGGCTTACAGTCGAGGTCGATGTTTCTGCCCATCGTGCGGAGCCTTTGAAATCGTTCAAGATCAAGTCGCCTTCTCCTTCTTGCCTTTCTTTTCTTGGTCGTTGACCCAGCTTCCTTGGCTTCTGATAGCGATGGCCTTTGTATCGATGTCCTATTTTGAGCGTATCCCCACTTGCAAGGTCGTGGCCCAGATATTCAGACGTTCCGTTCATCAGGCGCAGGAGTGCAATGCCCGCCCGCGTATATCTCGAGAGGCCTGTTTCTTGCGAGAGGTCAGGCGTGGCTGGACCGAGTGTGGCACACCAGTCATGTGACCCTGCGCTGACTTAATGCGCACCCCCCTTGCAGCTCGAGAGTGTCAATGTTCGTGGGAAGCATACACGAGACTGCCGTCACCAAAAGGATGCCGGAGGAACCGTTGCTTCGATTTCCCAGTCGAAGTCTGGCTGCCGGGCCCCTTCCCACCTCCACCACCAAACATCGACCCGGGTGAAGAAGTTGATGGTGTTGAGCCGAGCAGAGTCCCAAAAGAACAAGCCAAAGAGACGACAGTTCGTCATCCGAGGATCGTTGCAGGTTGACCCTGGAAAGGATTGATATGCCCAATACCAGGCTTCTTCCGGGCCCTTATCGGTGTCTTCGCTTATCAGTGACTGCCGGACATGCTCTTTATACTCGTCCGGAGTGTAGGATGACAGAGCTTTCCTGATCGGGAGTTCCAAGTTGCTCATCTCGACGCATCTGTCAACAGCATCCGTGAACCATGAGTAGATCTCGCCAACCCGGTTGTAACTGGCGTACCGTGGCTGTTGCGGAAGGTCGACAAGTAGCTGATAGAACTGAGTTGGCGGTGATGTTGACACCCTGTAGAGAAACTTGATCCCAAAGCATAGCAGTCGAGCCTGGTTCTGGTTGATGTGGCAATCACCGCGCTCCAAATTGGGAGGTAAGATTGGAGCGGTCCAGTACACAACTTGAGCCCCATTTCTAGGGCCGCAATGGTGTGTCTGCAGAGCCTCGATCTTACGAAGCTCCACGAGTGCACGCAATGCTACAGAGGATTGTCAATTTTCGACATTGTGTAGGCTCGAGAGATGCCAGATAACTTACGAGGACCAATGACAACCGCTGCAAGAAAGTCCCTTGTTGCAACCAATTGCTCAATCTCCCAAAGTGACAGGTAATCAAAAAAGTGCGCTCTCTGGAAATTTACGATATCCAGGTTGAAACGTACAACTTCGGGATCTTTAAAGAGCTTGCAGTAGACCTCGAATCGATAGAGGGCTCTGTGGAAACGAGCAGACTCAGCATCTGTTGGCTTCTCAGCGGAAGAAGGTGCGTCAGGCCAGTCAGGACGGTCGTTGGCGAGACTACACTGCTCTTTCATGAGACGATGCAGTGCCATGTCCCGGAACTTGAATCCCAGATGGCTGACGCACTGGTGTAATTCTGCTAGCTGGAAGCCATCTGATAAGCTGATGGTGGGAGGAACACGCGGCCGTCTCTTGAGATATTCGTCACTAAAGGCGGCAACGAGATTCAGGTCTTTCGGATCAAACTTGGAGGACTCCAGCGCCATGACAGCATAAGGAAGTGAAAGATGGCCTATTTCGTTCAGTAGCACCTGTCGACATGCTGACGAGGCGCATCGGAGCCAAGTTGGAGAAGTGAGGGCTGCATCTCTAAGGCATTTGAAGGTTGGCAGATGTGATAGGATATACACCCAGAGCTCATCTGGCATGCGCCGCGACATCGTATCGTGGATTTTTTTGGCAGATCTATCGTGATCTTGTTAAGAAACCGCATCGGATCCCCTGTGTCTTCCTAAGGTGGTAGGAAATCCGGAAGTGGGTAGTTCGAGGTTTGATACAAGAATGTGGTGTTTTCAATTGGTGATATTTTAATCCAAAATCACATCAGGCTCAAGATAGAGACAGTATGACCTGGAATTACTGGTGCTCAGGATCTCATATGCCGTACTGGAAAGTCTCTCGGGTGCATGAGCGTGGTGAGTTCGTGGCTTGTCGTTGTGAGATGGCTGAGCTGATTGATGCGAGGATCGTCGGTTCGGCCGCCGTTTGGGCCAAGCCGGGGCCGAGAGGTACGTACTGTGTGATTATACAGTGTTTATGCTTCCATCGGACCATCTGAACCGTGTGGGGTATCTGGACACAACAACCAATGAGAGATCACGAATGAGACTAGTCCATATCCGGGTTAGCGCCCAATTGCTCTCAACTCGGCGCAGGTGCAGTGAATTGCTGGTCGAGCAAGCTCGCGTCAAATCCCTTCGCCAGCCTGCCACGGTACCTCGCTGCGAACGTCACCCTTCTCCGCCGCATCCCACCTCGACCTATCCTTACCAGACAACCACCTCGAAATCGCGATTACGACAGCATTCATCCTCTCCGAATCAACCTGAATTAGTAACCGTCGCGATGGGCAAGAAGAAGCGCGGACACCCCGACGTCGAGGACGTTCTCTCCCGGCCATGGTGCTATTACTGTATGAATCCATTGCCTTTCGCGTCTCGGATCTGAGCGCGTGTGCTGACTTGTTTGCAGGCGAGCGTGATTTTGAAGATCTGAAGCTTCTCATCTCCCATCAGAAAGCTAAACATTTCAAGTGCGACAGATGCGGTCGCCGACTCAATACCGCTGGAGGTCAGTCCACCACCGTACGCTGTCCTCTGTGGCATCGCAAGCTAACATCTTGTGTCGCGCAGGTCTCTCCGTCCACTTGAACCAAGTCCACAAGGAAACCCTCACTCAGGTCGAGAATGCGCTACCGAACCGACAAGGCCTCGATGTGGAGATCTTCGGTATGGAGGGTATTCCCCAGGATATTTTGGACCAACACAGGAACCGCATTATCCAGAACTTCTATCAGGCCCAAGAGGACCGCAGGATCGCCACCGGCAACCCCTTACCTGGCCAGTCGAAACAGCCGAGGAAGAAACTCAAGGTTGAAACTCCCGAAGAGTTGAAGGCCCGCCTTGCCGAGCATCGCGCACGACTGGCCGCCGGGCATCCTCCCGCTACCAGTGGCAGCCCTGCGAATGGCGCCCCTGCGAGCGCAAGCCCGGGTGCATTCGTGAGTACCCATACACCGAAAATAGTATACACGCGTGGCTTTGGGCTAATCATCCGTCATAGAACAACTCTCCGTACCCACCGCCTCAAGCGCCTTACGGTGCGGCTCCCGATCAGAACTACCCGCCCGGTGCTGCCCCTGGCGCTCCGGCTTACCCTCAACAGGGCTATCCGCAAGGCAACTTTGGTGGTTTCTCTGCATCATCTCTTCCCGCGAGACCGACGAGTGGCCTCCAAGCGATGCCCGGCCTACCTCAACGACCGCCCCAACATGGCGGCCAGTTCTGGAATGGCTCTGGCGCACCGCCGCCTGGCTTCCCAGGAGCATCCACTGTCGATGAGCTGGTTTCCGGAGCGGCACAACACGGAGACGAAATCGACGAGCTCATTCGCAGAGCCGAGTCCGGAATCAAGCCGGCCAAGAAGCCCGAAGATGAAGCCGGCGACGAGGCCGCAGGCGACAAGAAGTCGAAGAAGGATAAGAACGGCAGAATGTTCTATGCAGACACAGAGGTCAGCCCTGAGGAGCGCATGGCGCAAATACCGAGATACGCCTACGTGCCCCCAGCATCGTAGTCAAGTAATGACTGGCATTGGGCTATTTGGATGGCGGCGCATGGGGACGTTGCGACGCGGATGCATCCCAATCATGGCAAGTGTCACTGCGACAGGCTTTCATCGATTGACGCGATTTTCGAGACTCAGGACGACAACGGCAACCCTCCTGAGCGGAGTTTCAATGGCGTAGCTGGTTTTGGGATGTACATAAAAATTGTAAGGAATGCACGAGAAATTTCCGTCACTGTACTCATCGCAGGCCGTGACGCTGAACAAATTGACAGGTCCTGCATTTCAACGATCGTCGTTTCATAGTGACCCGGATTGCTGTCTCTGGAGCTGAGGATGAAGAATCTGGGATAACCTCTGAACTGTGAACCGGCATCTGCATTGGTCCTAAATCATGCATGAGAATGCAGGAGATGAGGGGCCGCAACGTGATAGGTGGTCACGCGTCCGTATCTGGGCTTAGTTGCCAGCCTTGCTTACCTTGCTTGACGAGATCGCACAAATGACGCATGATTCATCTTTCTCAGAACGTTCAACATACTTCCTAGCGTTGTGGCATTCCTCTCGTACTACTCTGGACTTTTGGTGCACAGCCTTGGTCATGTGGCTGATCGACACACAGAAAACAACATTGCATCGCGTTGCGGATCATCGACAGAATGGCACACGGTCGTACGCCATTCTCTCCCACACCTGGGGCAACCAAGAGGTCGAGTTCCACCACATGTCGAATTTGAACAGTGCAAAGACGAAAACAGGATGGAACAAAATTAAGATGACCTGCAAGCTTGCTCGCTCCAAATTCAAGTACGCATGGGTCGACACTTGCTGCATTGATAAAAGCAGCAGCGCCGAGTTGACAGAGGCCATCAACTCCATGTACTCCTGGTACCAATCGGCCGAAATATGTTATGTCTACCTAGCAGACCTAAGTCCAATACCTGAAGGGCTTAGGGGCACATATCGTTACGACTATCTCAGAGACAAATTACCCAAGTGCCGCTGGTTTTCTCGGGGCTGGACTCTCCAAGAGTTGATAGCCTCAAAGCAAATCGAGTTTTACGACAAGAAATGGAACCTCGTAGGCGAGAAAAGCGACCTCATAACCATCATCCAGGAGATCACACGAGTTGACGTGAGCATTTTGCAAGACAATTCAGACCTACAAACGCTCCCGGTAGCACGTCGCATGTCCTGGGCCGCCGGCCGCAAAACCACAAGAGTCGAGGACATTGCCTATTGCCTCCTGGGTATTTTTGACATCAACATGCCATTGCTATACGGCGAGGGGTCAAAAGCATTCCAAAGACTTCAAGAACACATTGCCAACGAGACCAACGACTTGAGCCTTTTTGCGTGGCAAAAAAAGGTCGACTACCAAGCAGCTTCAGCTCCAGGACTCAGTGGTGTATTCGCAGAGTCTCCAGCAGACTTCACATACTGCTCTACCCTCATGAGACACCGAGATCGATTTCAGTTCAGGAACGACTTTACCCTCACCAACAACGGTCTCCAAGTCAAGGCCCAAAAGCTCAGGCTGCCGGCGAATGACGCTGCGGAAGCGGCGAACGATGCTGACGCGTTCTACGCATTGAGTCTTGATTGTCTCGAAACCAGTGTCAGAACGCAAGGGACCCCCAAGTGGCTTGCAATCTGGCTACTCAAGGTCGGAACGACGTTTGTTAGAGCGGTTCCAGATCAGGTGTATGCATACAACTCGAGATTACAATGGTCTAATGCCACACTGGACACATTTGATGCCTGCATCCGCAAGACGCTATACGATCACGAAACGACGCGGCTGGCGTCCTTCATGGGAGCCAAGATCGGATTCGAATACGACTCGCAGCTCAAGAACTTGATTATTTCCAAGACAGCTAACCCCGTGGAGGCATGTGTGCGGTCCTCCGTCGCAGACTTTGTCTTTGACTGCCACGGGCTCGACAACTTCGCTGGGACGCATTGTTTCAAGATCCAATTCGGATTTCCATTACAGAAAGTTACCTTGGGCATCATCTGTGGCCTTCAGTGGGATGGCTCGCGTTGTCGACCGTGGGCAGCACTTTTTGACGAGCTTTCGGTCGAAGGGACCGAATCAGAGCTGCTGATGAGATACGCACAGGTGATCCCTGGCGTTAAGGCTGAGGAGAGACTGTCGGAGATTCGCGACTACATGATGTGTCGATTCACGGATCAATCAGGCTTGTACAAGTCGAATTTGATGCCCAAGTCTGCAACCATTATCCAGTACGGGACTGTCATCACACATCGTATTTGGATCGAGGCGGAACCAAGAAAGATCGACGAGGTTTCCTTCTCTCGAGGTTCGTCTTCTGCGTACATCTTCAAGGTCCATTATCGCTCTGGCGTGAACCAGGCAGATTAGGGACTTGCTGAACAGAATCAAAAGTATGATATTGGTGCTTCCACGCTCCTCTTCCCACTCGATATGAGATGGCTGGGATTGCGTGAGTGGTGACGCGTTTGACCAAGTACCTTACATGCCTGTACGCAGTACTCCGTACCTAGACATGAAAAGCTGTCTGTGTGGGGACGGCAAGACGTGCCGAAGTTTTCCAATTCACATCACGAACCCAAGCGGTCGGGCTACTCATGGTGATGGCTTCCTTGCCACTTTGTTTAACAGGACTAGGGTGGCCGGGTAATCTGGGGGACCAAAGTTGCTAGCAAGGCGAGCTTTTTGGTGGCGGCCGGGATCATGTTCACTTTGCGGCTAAATGCAACTCTCCACTTCCAATGTCACAACTGGTTGTTCCCCGCAGTGACTTTTGCCGTGAGATCACGCGCGGATCAAGAAATCTCCAAATTACATGCAACTAGCTGGCTGGTTGCTTTTTGGGGTAGGCAGTTCTTCTATCTTGTCTGCGTTTAGTTCAATGTCTCTGAAGTCTGACCTTTTTGATGTTGTGAGTTGAGAAAATTTGGGCAACTTAGTGAGTACTACACACACTTGGAGAAGAAGCAAAAGCAAAGAGTCTATTATAGTACTCAAGAGAAGCTCACTGCCGTAACTCGGCACCGGCTCTTGAGCAAGTTGTGGCCGAGCAAAGCCGGGCGTGGGGTAAAAGAGTCTTGGAAGCCGCTCGCTTCGAGGACCCGGCCGCGCCGCCCTGCGGGGAAAGCTCAACTCAAGCATTTTGGAGGCTGGGGTGTCCCTCGCCCGTATCGAGGACGACCATCTCTTCTCATCTCAGCATGCCCTCATTACCTCGTCGGCCCTTGCTCCGGCCTGTCATGGAGACCCAGGAAGTGGTCCCTTTTACCCGTCGGTCAGGAACCGTCATCCCATCTTGGCTGGTGTCATCCGTCCCCGGCCGTCCATGAAGGCGGTTCTCGTACCATTATTGGTCGTTCTTCATGTTTGTCTAGCTTGTGGTGCCGTTCGTTCATGCCCCGTACCATCAGTCGATCCCACCTTGCCATGCCTGTTCAATCTGATTTCCCCATGGAAGCGTCATCCTGGTCTGGGGTCTCCAACCGTTCCTGATCCGAGGACTGAACCAAGTACGCGCTATTGAACGCTCATTGTGTATTTAATAAAAGCAGCAGCCCTTCCCTCTCAACGATGCTGGTTTCTGTACGTCCGTGACATTGTTCTTGTACAAGTGGAGCGTGAGCTTCACAAGCCCGCAGTCATGGCATTCGTCAACCTCAAGTCAATCTCCCTTGTGGTCCTATCAAGCCTGGCACCTTTGATCTCGGCATTGGGACAGCAACCGATCGTCTCATTCGAGAGTGCTTCAGGCAGCTTCCAGATTGCCGGAGGAGATGTCGGGACAGGCCAGATTTTGGTATCAGACGATGATTACTGGGGCGTCATTCGGGCAGCAGGCGACCTAGCCTTGGATTTTGGTCGGGTCACCGGCACAAATTACACGCTCAGCAATGGCGGAAACAGCTCCAAACCTGCTCTTTATACCTTCTCGCCAGTGGATGTCACCAATAACACCGTTGTGAGTCTCCTTCCTATGCCGCGGTCCAAGTGGTCTGAGTGGCTCTGGAGAGCGCTCTTCTTAAAGACAGGATGGTCGCTAAACGTTTTCCACAGTACCGAGTTCTGGACGAACAGTCATTTTCCGGTCCCAACTACGCCAACCCCGCCCCCGATCGCACCGTTGTCATCGTCGGCACCATCGGCCATTCAAAGGTCATTGACAGCCTCATCAAGGCCCAGAAACTCAATACGAGCGAGGTTGAAGGACAGTGGGAGTCATTCGTCAGCCAACTGATCGACGAGCCCATTCCGGGATGCTCACGGGCTCTTGTCATTGCCGGTAGTGACCCTCGAGGCACCATCTACGGCATCTACGACGTCAGCGAGCAGATTGGAGTCAGCCCGTGGTACTTCTGGGCCGATGTGCCGTCCAAGAAAGCGACTGAGATCTACGTTCTGCCCGAACGTAAGGTCCAAGGATCTCCTGCGGTCAAGTACCGTGGTTTCTTCATCAACGATGAGCAGCCTGGTCTGTCCAGCTGGGTTTCGTAAGTCAGTCTCATTCTTTTGGTGAGGTCAAGGCTAATATGCCCAAAGAACCAAGTGGAACGACACCTGGAATGATGCCGCAGGGTACAACTACCACTTCTACAGCCTCGTCAGCGAGCTTCTCCTGCGTCTCCGCGCCAACTACCTCTGGCCTACGCTCTGGGGAAGCATGGTCTACGTCGACGATCCGCTGAACCAACCCCTCCTCGACGCATTCGAAGTCGTTCTCGGTGGCTCTCACACCGAGCCTCTGATGCGCGCTCAAAACGAGTTTAGAACATTCTACCAGGGCCAATGGGCCTATAACCTCAACAACAAGACCATTGACGACTACTTCCGTTACGGTGTGCAGCGTGCCAAGCCTTACGCTCGCAACAGCCTGTGGACCATGGCCATGCGCGGCACGGGTGACACCGCTATCGAGGGCAACCTGGGAGTCGAAGGCATCGTCAAGATGCTGGAGGAGCTCGTGGCCAATCAGCGAGCCATTATTGAAGAGGGACTCGAAATCGACAGTGCCTCGGAGGTTCCGTCGTTGTGGTGCCTTTACAAGGAGGTCCAGTCGTACCAGGAAAAGGGCCTCGTTGTGCCCGAGGATATTACCCTGCTGTGGGCTGACGACAACTGGGGCAATGTCCGAAGGCTACCGCTGGTGAACGAGACTGACCGGAGCGGCGGTGCCGGTGTCTACTACCACTTTGACTATGTCGGTGACCCGCGCGACTACAAGTGGATCAACACGATTCAGCTGGAGAAGACGGCGGAGCAGATGTCGTTGGCGTATGCCCGGAATGCGCGCAGAATCTGGATTGTCAACGTCGGTGACTTGAAGCCGCTCGAGATTCCCATCAGCCACTTCTTCGACCTCGCCTATGACACTGAGAAATGGGGTGTTGACGGCACTGGTAAGTGGCTCGAGGCTTGGGCAACCAGAGAGTTTGGCGGCGACCACGCAGGCAACATCACGGACATCTTGACGCGGTATGGCATGTACGCTGCCCGCAGAAAGTACGAATTGGTTGAGCCAAACACATACTCAGTCATCAACTACAACGAGGCAGACGCGGTTCTGGGCCAGTGGGCCACTCTCCGCGAGCAAGCTCAAGCTGTCTACGATGCCCTCTCTGAGGAATATCAGGCGGCTTTCTTCGAGATGATCTTGCATCCCATCTCGGCTGGCGAGATCCTCCACAAGATCCAGATCAATGGTGCGAAGAACCAGCTGTTTGCAGGACAGAAGCGCAACCTGGCAAACGATATCATCGATGAGTCTAGGACCTTACTCGATGCGGACGCCGAGCTGACCATCCGATGGGATGAACTTCTCAACGGAAAGTGGCAGCATATGCTTGATCGTGAGTTGAAGAACCAAAGAGCTCTTTCTATTGTGAACAGTGCTAATATGACGCGCAACAGAAACCCACCTTGGGTATGATGGCTACTGGCAACAGCCCATGCGTAACACCCTCCCAGATATGCGCTACGTTCAGACAGCCTTCCCATCTCTGGGTGGCCAGATTGGTGTCGGCGTTGAGGGGTCCAACGCCAGCGTTCAAGGTGACGACAAGTGGCACACCAACTCTGCCAACGACCTGGCCGTACCCCCACTGGATCCCTACGGGGCCATCTCGCGCTACTTTGAGGTCTTTACCCGTGGCAATACTGCATGCCCCTGGACGGCCAGCCCTTGGCAACCCTGGGTCAAGCTCTCCCAGTATAATGGCGCGGTTGGCGGCAACAATGGTACGGACAGTCGTATCTGGATCTCGATCGACTGGGAGAACGCGCCGACAGCTCCCAATGCGACGCAAGTGTACATCAATATCACGACGCCGTGCAAAGGCAAAGAGAAGTACGCTGGATCAGGACAGAGAGTCATCGTGCCTGTTGTCAACCGGGCCGTGCCGTCCAACTTCACCAAGGGTTTTGTTGAATCTGATGGACATGTTTCCATCGAAGGACCGCACTACCAAAACATCATTGAGCCCAACAACTCTACTGGGTTGAGCAACAGCAGCAGCAAACTCGGGTATCACTTGTTTGAGAATTACGGACGCACCTTGGGTGGAGTTGGACTGTATCCCCCTGAGTCGGAGAAGGTCAAGCTGGGTGAGGGACCGGCGCTGGAGTACCAAATGTACCTCTTCACCAACACCAGCAAAGCCAACGTCACGCTGTACATCTCACCCACATCCAATTATCTCGGGGATGGCAACCCACTCGAGTATGGCATCTCACTGTACCCGGCCGGTGGAAGTGCACCGCAGCCCAAGACAGTGCAACCGGTGGGCAAGACGCAGGGGCAGAACATGCCGGATGGATGGGGCTATGCCGTGGGGGATGCCGTCTGGGGACTCACCGGAAACTATACGACAACATCTTTCAACGTGACGCAGGAGGGCGCGTATACGCTTCGTGTTTGGGCGCTTCTGCCGAACATTATCGTGCAAAAAGTTGTGGTTGACCTTGGTGGTGTGAGAAAGTCGTACTTGGGACCTCCCGAGAGCTTCTTGCTCGGGCGTGATGAGCAGGGCGCCGTCAAGCGGACTGCGTTTACAGAGACGCCGGGAATTGTTGGAGGAACTACGAACTAGAGGAAGTCAATCACATGCTTGAGCCTAGAGTATTGGGTGTGTATGTAAGTAAGGTGAAAAACAAAGTTAAGAATAATAAAGTACCTAAATGGAACAAATAAGGTACTTAATAACGGTTTGGTGTCTAAAGAATTCTTTGGTTCAAAGTGGATGCAAATTCATCATGGCTTTTCCTATTTCCGCCAAGCCCTTCACTCCTGACATGTTTCAGTGTGTACCCGTAGTTTTGGTCCGTGAAGCGTTTCTGTGCCTTTGATTCTTTGTCTTCCCACGACGATGGTCGAGTGTTTTTTCTTGTTGTTTGTGGCGGGTGTCAGCTCACCAGCCACAGTTCACATCAGCCACGTGAGCCCCGCAGAGCCCCATCAGTGTGGGGTGTGGCTCAGTCGATGACATACATTTTCATTCGTCTGCGCACTGATGGTGGTGGGTTCGGCAGGAGGATTAGGATTAGCGGCTCCACTTCCGCCTCGCTAAAAAGGCTCCCGGTCGTCGGGGGCAACGGCGGCACCTGGCGGGTGGGAAAACAACAAACGTCAGTCACAGCACACACAGCACGCGGCCAAACAGCACGCACTTAGCCCAGAGTGCGCACACCGTCAGCTCAGATCCGC